GGCGACCTCGCCTACAACAAGCCCGCCAGCCCCGAGAGGCGCTCCGGCCTGGATGGCGACCTCGCCTACAACAAGCCCGCCAGCCCCGAGAGGCGTTCTGGCCTGGATGGCGACCTCGCCTACAACAAGCCCGCCAGCCCCGAGTAGTTCTGCGGGCTGGACTGGAGATACCGTCTTCACCAACGGCAGCGGCATCGCTCAACACAGCCACGCAAGACGGAGTCGTGTCTCTTGCTCGCCAAGCAAGCGGCTAGTTCCTCTCGCGTAGAAACTGACATGGCTTCATTCTTCCAGAGAAACGACTGTGGCCCCAAGGGACTTTGCGTCGGAGTGGTGACAGGTCAGGAATGAACGGGCATGTGTGTATCTGGACGGTCTTTAGCTAGTGGGAAGCAATGAACTGAAATGCCGCTCCTTCAAATTTCTGTGCACAATAAAGACAACTGGTTTCCTGCCTCGAGCCCCTGCCGTGCCATGTCAGGCCCTCTCTCAGCAGCAAGCTAGTAGGAGGTTATCCCGGCGTTCTGTGATTGGAAGCAATTCTGCAGTCGGGATGACTCCAGCCAACAGACATGCCCTAAAAGGGGAGGAGCTACTACTACAGGTTACGTCGATCCATACAATCCTTCACAGTATGGCGCCTGCCTGATTACCAGCCTTGTGTGAAGTACTTCGTACACAGGGTGACTACTTCTGGAGGTCGCACGTGCGGTGAGGGGGCGGTGCGCTGGCCACAGCAAACGTATCAACCCAACTCCTCCCAACAGCGCCGGTTCCAGTCAAGGCCTGCCTCCTTCAACAACCTCACAGAAGTGTCCATCATGCCTGAGGCCGACAAGTTTCGTGTCCGCCACGCGAGGTCGGACGGTGACGATGCGCAGTTCATCATGGCCGCGTTCGACTCGACGATACCTTACCTCGCGTCCATCGGCGCCGGCGCAATGTGGGGTGAGAAGCCCTTTTCCGAGAAAGACGGCTTTGAAGGGGAAACAGTGGAATCGATCCAAAAGTCGGAGCGCGACGATGAGCCCCTGAGGGTCTTCATCGCCGAGGTCGGTCCCGGCGCGGCCGCCGAGCAAGGCACGGCGCAGCCTGTGCGCGTCGGCTCCGCGATGGTACGCGAAGACTCGCTGCCGTCGTACATAACGGACCGAGAAGAGATGAAGCCTGAAGTAGACGGAGCCAAGGATTATCTCTTCTTGGAGGTCGTCATCTCAGACTACAGGACGGGGCCGCTTCACAGGGGCGCCGGGGCAGCGCTGATCGAGGCCATCAAACACTATGGGCGTGAGAGGAACAAGAAGACCTTGTATGTGGACTGCTGGGCTGGCAACGGTGCCAAGCTGAACAGGTGAGGTGGAGCGTGTCAAGCAATGCAGACTCGCGCTTACACGGTCGCAGGTATTACGAAAAACTGGGCTTCGCCAGGGTCGGCGACTTTTCGTTTGGCAGGGCCAATGGAGAGATTTGGCCAGGCACCTTCTTCCGCATGGATCTGTAGTCGTGGACTCGTGGTGGAGGACTGGAGGTGATGGAACTCAAAACACAGAGAAACCGGAGCTGGGCCAACCGCCTCCCAAACGCTTTCCAGTACTATGTGAGGGCTGTTGTCAGCCACATCTCCAAGAAACATATCGTGGCAGTATCTGTACTCTGGACTACATTTCCGTCCTTATATGGACAGAGAGGCCTAGGCTGGGGACCATATTGATCTTGCATTTCGCAACACTTTTGCCCTCAGGCGTGCATCTGGTCGCATGCAGGCACAGAGGCTTCTTTTATGGTCAGGTCATGTCACTGCCGGAAATCCGGCGATGCGTCAGCATGTGCTGTACTTATGGACCCAACGAATTCAGACTGGACTCAGAGGCGGCTCTGAATGCGCCGACGCCGCCAACCACAACCAGGCCTCAGGTGTGGGTATTTCATGGACTTACTTGCGTGACCCCCCGCTTTGCCCTTCTCACTCCTCAAGACTTGTTGGAGAACGACTCGCGCCTCACTTGTGCAGTAGTGCAGTTTGGAAACAGCGCGTGCATTGCGAACTGAAGCGTTTCTTGTTCGGTTACACATACGCTCTTTAAAATGGCTGTCAGTAGACGCCCTCTTGCCTAGCACCCGATACGCGCTGACCTTGGCCCCCCTCAGTTTCCGTATCCCCAGGTCGTTCTGCTTGGCGACTCACTGATACAGCACTCGGCCGAGACGCTCGACGGCTTCTCGCTTCAATCGGCGCTTCAGACCCGTGCGTTCGTCCCGACTCCGCGTTGTAAAGGAGGCCTAACCGACTCGTGCTAGGCTGTCTACGACGTTTCGATGTCATCAACCGTGGCTTCTCCGGGTGGAACACGGCCAACGCGATGAAGTTTATCGACCAGATCTTCCCTAAGCCTAGCGAGGCATCTCCGCGCATCAAATTCCTGGTATGGATACAAGGCGGGCCTCCAGCTGGGTTTGATCACGCTCACGCTCACGCTTGTTCAGGTTGTCCTGCTCGGGGCCAACGACGCCGTGATCCCGCTGCCGACCACGACGCAGCACGTCCCACTCGACCAGTACAAGAAGAACCTGACCACCATAGTCAACCATCCGCACATCCTGGCGCACGAGCCCAAGATCCTGCTCGTCACGCCGCCGCCCGTGGACGAGATCCGGCTCAAGGAGCTCAACATGGCAGAGGGTCACCCGTGTGCCGTCCGGACGTCAGCAATCAGCTCCTCGTACTCGGAGACGGCCCGTCAGGTCGCGCGCGAGAATGCGCATGTGGTGTCTATTGATCTCTGGAAGGGCATCATGGACAAGGCGATTGCCATGACGCCCGACGACTACAAGGAGGGCGGCCCACTCCTGGGCACGCCTGACAACGGCAATCGGGGCGGGCTGGCGTCGTTGCTCCCCGACGGGCTTCACATGAGCGGCGACGCGTACAGGGTCTTCTACGGCCTACTCAAGCCGCATATTGGCGAGGAATGGGTCAACTTGCCGGTCGAGGACCGCACCGGCTACCTGTTCCCAGACTGGCGGGAGCTGGCGGGACAAGCAGCGTAAGCGCGCACTGGATAGACGGGAGGATGCCGGTGATGACAATGATGAAGAAGCCGATGGGGGGCTTGGTTTGCCTCCTTGCATGAGCCACCCGCAATGGGTGCCTGTGGAAGATGACCACGAGAGGTCAACGGCGTTATTGCCCAAGCATGGTCCGCGTAGATGACCAGACAGACTCGCTCGAGGGGAACCTTGTCAATGGCGAGTTGAACAATCCATCAATCATCACCCACCACGACCGTCTCCACTGGCCAAGGGCCACGACCTCTGCTGGTTCGTCCCGCTAGTGAGCTCGGCTTGTGCACAAGCTCACCGTGCACGGCTCCGCAAGTGAGGTGTGGTGGTCAATCCACTAAATTGGTGCCTTCAGGACAGGTCATGTCGCCTACGCAGTACCTAGGTACAATAGGCGGCTGCAGGGGCAGCCATTGATGTCCGCCAAGCGCGCTAGCGCTGTTCCGTGTCCGGCGTCAAGGTGGCCCGAACAGTGCGAACGCCCGGCCAGGTGGCATGCAAGCTCCTGTAACTTATTAGTGCCTGTCTACCTGTACAGTAATTCATTAGTTGCCCAGCGTGTCGTGCGGGCGGGCCTTCGCCCCTGGTGCACCACCAGGTCACTGAGAAGTCAGCCTGCATCCATCCAACTTAAACTACGCCCCCGTCATCGACAACCGCTCAACCTGCATCCAAACGACACCAACCACACTCGCCGCCCCTTGCCATCCAACGCCCGACTCTACGATCGTCCGCCGCCCTCTTACGATCCATCACGCTCTCCGCACCCAAGGCCCTCATCATTGACCCGAATACCACCCCTTGCTCGACCCATTCCGACCTTCCTCGACGCCCCCCCGCGCCTCGTCAAAGGACATCCCTCGAACCCATCGCAACCCGCTTCAACGCCCTCTGCCGCGAGCCGCGCTCCTGCGACTACCCTTGTCTGTGCCTCGTGTCCAAAATATTTGCGGCAAACGCTTCATCACTGGCCTCGACTGCCGTTCTACCAGCACGTTCGCTGCACGCCGTCCGAGTTCAACCAGGCTGCTTTCGCCCCTGCAATCATACGAATCACGACTTTGGCGCCGCGTTGACTGATCGCCACATCATCAACCCTTGCCTCACCCATTCAACAACGTCGCCCCTTGATTTGACTCCCAATTATTCCTTTCAATCAGACCGCCGCCTACTTGACAACGGCCGAAGCGACTCACAGGCGGTGGTACAGCCGCAGCGACCCTACGAACGAGGTGGGGGAGGGTGGACCTCGTGAACCGACCTCCCAGGGATTTGGGAGCAGCAGCGCAACGCAGGCCGCCAAAAAGCTCTTGTGGTCGAGCCTCGAGACGCTAACGCGAGCTCGACGCTTTCATGGGAGCGATATCTGAAGGGCGCCTTCAATCTAGCGTCGTCAAGGGCCAGTCTGTCAATATTGCTCTGCCAGACTGCCACGCTCGTTACACCACCCGGCAATAGCCGACCTGTCATTCTCGCACCACTCGCCCTGGTATCCCTGCTTTCGTCCACGATCGACTGTGACCGCCACCACGTCTGGGATGGATCCGCGATTTCCCGTCTCTCGTGAAGAACTTTATAACTTGCAAATGGAAGTGAAGCAAGTCCAGTACACGCAGACCAACCATGCGGAGCGAATACTGCGGCTCGAGAAGCGGAATGCGGACGACTCAGCGCTGAAGTCGGTATGGAATTCGCCCTTTCCCGGCGTGCTTGCGGGCACACCGCAGCAAGGTAATATACCCGGGCTCTCACTCCGTGCTCCGGCCGCGTGCTCATGCTAACATGCCGCCCAGGACCTGTGCAAATCCCGCACAATGAAATGTTCGAGGATTTGGACGAGCAGGGTGAGCAGCTGCTCGGCTCTCTGCACCTGGGCCCGGCGGAAGAGGAGCCTGTCCGGCGCGGCGCCGCCTCTCGGGCAAATAGCGTTCGCTTCGACGAGAGCGCCCTGCACGGTTCGAGCTGGGGTGGGCAGAGCAACCGACACTCGGGTGATTTTGGCCCCATTCGTCCAGGCAGCGGCCTCCTGATGGAGCGGTCCCTGTCCCACAAGTCGGACGGCAGGCACAGCTCGGCAGGGCATTCAGTACATTCTCACCATTCCGTCGCCTCGGGCCGCGCGAGCAGCCTCGGGCTAGACATCAACGATGATGACGACTCGTCATTCGACATACCCGCTCCCCCGGTGTCGCTCTACGTGCTGGGAACCGTTCCGTCCATCATTCGCTGCTGGCTGACTACCCACTACGCGCACGACACACTCCTGTATGCCGATGTATGCACGGGGTCGCAAAAGTCGATTGTTGACTACTCGCTTCTGAAGGAATTGGACCTGTTGGACGAGGTGGATCACGACATGAACGGTGTCAGTCACGCCAGACTGAACGTTTACTTGGCTGAAGCAGTCGTCACACAGCACAACAGCAGGAATGGCACGCCCGGTGGCTCCGTTCCGTCCATGACGGTTCTCTTCGAGGTCGTCGGTAGCGAGAACGCATCTCAGTCGGGCGAGCAGAAGCGGATCCGCATCTACATTGGCAGCGACGCTCTCAGAGCTCACTCGGCCGACGTGCTACTGTCACAGAACAAGATGGCCCTTTACGGGAGCGAGCGCGACCGCTTGCAGGTGCCGTTCGTTCGCCCAGAAGACGAGAACATGTTTCGCCACATCTGCACTGCAAACATGGCGCCTGAGAAGCCCAGGCTCAACGCCAATGCCACTCCATTTGTTGCGGGCGATGGTCACCCGGCGACCAGTGAAGTGGTGAGCAACGGCGCGCGCGCAGTGCGTCAAGAAGTGATCGCGCGCCCGCGGTCTTCGGGGAGCGACTCCCGTCCGGACCCTCACAAGCCCGCCACGGTTAGCGGGGCATCTGACGCCGGCGGCGAGAGCGACAAGACGGGGCGGGATGCCGCCGACGCCACCGACTCGGAGCATGGGGGCAAAGACGGATCGAACACATCGGAGACGTCTCGTCGCGAGTCTTCGACGTCGACAGGCATTTGGGGGTCCTGGCGGCAGGGCGCAGGCGCCGGGCCGGACGGCTCGCAGCGAGAGACGGGGCCTCTCAGCGGGTATCAGCCCGCCGCGCGCAGCAGTCGCAACATGAAGGTTCTCAAGCCGCTCAAGTCAAGCTCCACCTCTGCCCGGACTGGCGCTTCCTATGAACCTCCCTTGCCGCCTAAGTCGGTCGAGACGCGCCGCAAGAGCCAGGTCAGCATCAGCGGTGATGTCGCAAGCCCTGCCAACGGGACGAACCGATGGGATGCGAAGCGCGCTGTCAGCTCCGGCACCGACCCCAAGAGCCAGACGAGCAATCGAGAGTCCAACAGGAATTCTGCAACGCTGCCAAGATCGGCGAACCCCGTTGGCGTGGCCTCAGCCTTTTCGTGGATGACGCCTTCGACCAAGACGACGCCGTCAAAAGCCCCAGCGGAAAGCGGTCAGTGAGCAAACATACGGTTTGCGAGCTGGACCCGGCCACCGGAGACTACCAGGTGCAATTTGCGAGTGCGACTCGGTCAAATGCGTTTGCGAGAACGTTTGCGCCGTCCGAAGGGTCACATGTGCAAGTGTAAGCGCTCACGCATGGCTATTGGAATGCCTTGGAACGGAATGATCCGGTAGATGTAGCGGCGCGGGCGACCGCGTCATGTGCCCGAGTAATCAAAGATATATACCAATATACTTGCTCCAAAGCGCATGTCCCGTAACCCCCTCATGCTTTTTGGCGGTCAGTCATCTACATCTTAGACGTCGGCGGCAGAGCCTCGAGGACTCGCTTAGTGTCGGCGACGGAGCCCTTGACGACGCCAAAGAGGCTCTTGAAAGCCGGGTGGGAGGCGTCACCGAGAGACTCATACATCCAGCTCTCGGTGGTGGTGACGATGATGCCGGGCTCGGCGCGCAGACGGTCGAGGGCGACGATGACCTCGGCGCGGTTGCAGCTGCTGACGGCGTCGGCGAGCACGTATGGGACGTGGCCAGCGTCTCGCAGGTCGAGGGCAGTCTGGGTGATGCAGATGTGGGACTCGATGCCGACGAGAGCGACGCGGGAGCCCGGCGGCAAGGCAGCAGCGACCTGTGGCACAAGCATGCTGAACTTTGTCTTGTCATGGGGCTGATTCGGCAGCAGGGCGGCCACGGCGGGGACCGTCGGGCCGAGCTTGGACACTGTCTGTGTGGTGGCATGGATGGGTATGGAGAGAGCCCTTGCGAAGTTGAGGAGCTTGGTGGTTGAGAGGACGCTGAGGCGACGCGGCAGGTTAGCCGAGGTTCAGATCGGGGAGGTCATCACCGATGGCGGGGGACTTTGGGTATCGAGGGGTATGGAGTCGGGGAGGGACGCACATGCTATCGAACTCGTATATCGCGTTGCGGAACTTTTCCTGCAAGTCGCAGACACTGCGCATATGGGCATCAGCCTTCACCATCTTTCTCTCGTCTGGCGGGCGCGTGCACGCGCGCGAAATGCAGTCGTCGCAGCCAAAAGGCAATGTGCGGTGTCGCGATCGCGGGGCGCACCGCTCCGACGTGGGGTACAAACGTACAAGATGGCGGGGTTCTCTGTTTCGCGCAGCGCCAGCGTCAGCGTCCAAGAAGCCCATTGTATCTCGACCAGAAGGGGGATCACCAGGGAGGGGGGGCCACGTACTGAACCGCATTTCGGTGGGCGGGGAGGTAGCCATTGTGCGAATGCTCTGGGCGTGAAGCGCGCGTGTGGTGTTGCGAAGGAGGTGAGGAGGGCTGAAGATGGTCCGGGGCGGCGCTGGCGAGAGAGCAGCAGGAGCTCTGGCGCCAGCAGCGCCAGCGCGAGGCCGGAGGCGGGCGGCACCGGGGGGCGGGGTGGAGGCGGTGGAGGCGGCGACGACGACGGCGTCGGCAGCGGCGTTGCGGGCGCGGCTGCTATTACATGTACCACTGTGCGAGAAGTGCCGGCGGGGAAGGAGGAAGGGGAGGAGGGAGCGCGGGAGGGGGCCAATTGCGGTTCTGCACGCCGAGCTATTCATAACCGCGAGATGCCGGTGATGCGTGATGATGACTTGTTAGGTCTCGACGATGGATTGAACGTGCGGAGGAAGAAGAAAGAACGAGTTGACGAACGCATGCAAGGGGAGAGAGAAGGTGGGGCTAGTGTACTGAACCGAGTACTCATCCTGCAGCTGCGTTCCCGCATCTTCGGGATATGTCCTCCTCCCCAACACCGCCACCCCATGGCTTCAATTCTGCCGTTCGCCATGGAACACTCAGATTCTGAGCCAATCGAGTGCGCATAAACTTTTTGGGCCTGGGAATCCGTCCGTGCTCTCCCTGTGACATTACAATACGCTTGCTTTGTGTGCTGTCCTCAATCGAAAACTGGTAGACTGGAAGCCGCCCTCCGTGTTCATTGGTGCAGCATTGACTCTCTCGCCGGTGTACCTATTTTTGATATCGGAGTCGACAAGAAATTGCGCTGCCGCCCGAAAGTCGCGGTTCAGTGTCAGTAACAGGGCCGTCACGACGGATGCGAAACCCCGACGGAACCCTTCAATGAGCCCGGCGTGGATATGGCGGGGGGGCAACGGAGGGTTTTGCCCGGAGTCATCTGCCGCCGGCTCAAAGCAATCAACACTGGCAGGCAGAGCTTCTTAAATCCCACGGGACCATGTTTCTACAGATGAAGCATTTTCACCTCTAAAGAGCGGTAGAGGGTCAAATGGTTATGGAAGTCTGCGAGTAACATGGGATGGCCTTCTGAGAAACGGAGCCGCTCTGGTCTAGGCTGGTCGAGATACCCCGTTAGCTCCATCACGGCCCGGGACGCGCCCTGGCTACTGTGGCAAGCGCCAAGAATCGGCATGGGCGCTCTCCCATCAGGCGCGTCACTGGCAATACTCACCCCTGTCTAGTCGTTGATGCTCGCAGGGTGAGGCCCGGGTCTCCATCCGAGTTATTTCACCTACGTGTACATATGGTCAAAGTCTCTAGCTCGGGTTTCCGCCGCCGTATGGTCACGCAACTCGCTCAGCACTAACAGGGGTTCACGTCTTGCTTCAAAAGCGAAGTAGCCCGTGTCGGCGTAACGCAGGATTCGGGCCAGTTCGAAGCCCGTTCCATATACTCCCATCACCACGTCTTGCAGGCCATTTTCGGTCTTGACGATGGTTTCGGGCCCGAGGCATGTCAGAACAATATTATGCGGACCCGGAGGATGAAAAATGACCTTGCTCTTCCAATCAACTTTGACGGATCGTGAAAGTCGTACCAAACCCTCAGCGTACGTTGCGAGCACGTGAATATACGATCCTTCACGAAGTATAAGTACATGTATGAGTGTTTGGTAAATGGGGTTCAGGAAAAGGGCATATTCGGTATTTGGCTCATGTACGAGCCCTCCAAACACTGATGTCACTTTCTAACATGGCGTGGAACTGTTCGAGTCGCGGAGCTCTTTTTCTGGCTCTTGCCCTGATATGCTGCATTGTGTCATTCCACGAACGGCCCGTGGCGCAAGCATCACCACACGGCATATCCAAACGATCATTTGCCGGCGGCGCCATAGGTCTTGGTGAACTTATCCACGGTGTCAAGGAGTTCTTGGCAGACGACAATGCCTACGTACGAAATACCCGTGTTCCTCTGCTGTGAACATCTGACAGTATTAACAGCATGACCCGCGAACCAGGATGCCGATGTCCCAGACAAGTGCGTCATAACCATGCAGACCTCTGGCGGCGGCAATTGCAAAGTATACGTGCAATGTGAGCAGACCGATTCCATCGGGGTCTTCACCGGGGATTGGAACGTCTGTTACGCGGGAGGTCGCCAGTACTTCAACCAACCTCACATCGGTGACTTTTCGGTCACCTTCACGAAGGCAGGCGGCGTGAATGGCGATAAACAAGACGGGTACGCTCTTCCAATGCTTGCATGACTGGCATGTCTGGCGTATCATTTTCTCACTGGTATCGCGGTTCAGTCTCCATTCTCCAGTGCTCCAGATTGCCGCATTCAACGACTGGGAGCCGTTCGTCCTTGACGACATTATCGGGGCCCAGTCCGGCGATCACGGGAACCTCTGTGTTTTTTTGAAACAAGCATCCATCGAATGCTAAGGTGGAGCTGCGGCGTGCCCAAGAAGGGCCAGCACTCCGCCTTTGGCATTTCCTTGCTTGATCCAGCCTTTGGAAGCCCAGGCTTCAAATCAGGCTGGTGTAAGTCGCGTCCACAAATAGTACACACAAATGCCGGCCGTCCGCTGACGTGGAAACCCTCAGGCACTGCTCATGTAAGCCAGTACCAGAAGAACGAGTACGGCGTCGGAGAGCGGTACGCCTTCGACATAATCATCTACGACGCCGGCGGCGCGCAGATCGGACACGCCCAAAAGGCCGCGGTGGACTCCACCGGCCACCTCTCTCTTACATCGAAGCTTCCTTATACCCTGGACATCACCGTGGACGACGTGGACTCGAGCCCCGTGCAGTTTGCGTACGCCGGCCAGCTCTGGACCTGCGACGGCAAAGATGCAAGCGCCCACAAGTGTACCCTAGGAAACGGTCCTCGAAACGGCTACGATAACGGCAATCGCGAGGGCGACATGGGATTCACCTGCGCTGAGGCGCCAGTCGCTCCGCCGCACATCACCACCAGCCTAAGAGGCATGTTTGTCGGGGATTCTATCACGCAAGGTGCGGACGGCGACTACACGTGGCGCTACCGCCTGTGGCAATGGCTCAGGAACGAGGGCGTCGACACCAACTTTGTCGGGCCGTACCAGGGCACATATCCGGCTGCCTCGCCAGCAGACGCAAAGCCGAAGCCGCCGCCTCTGCAGGGAGCAGGCAGTCCTCCCGGCGTGGTTCTCAACAGCGGTCGGTATGCAGCGGACGTGGAAGCAGCATTCCCCAGACCGCACTACGGCATGTGGGGACGACAGGCTGCCCAAGTGTATCCCGCAATCGGCGCCTACGTTAAGCAATATCAGCCTGACTTCCTATTTATTCTACTGGGATTCAACGACTTGGGATGGTTCGTCAGTGGCCCGGAAGGCACGCTGAGCAGCGTGGAAAAGGTGGTCCGCAACGCTCAGGCCGCGCGACCGAGCCTCAAGGTCCTCGTCGGCAACGTGCCGCAACGGACGCTCATCAAGGTCGTCAACGAGCAGCTGCCAGACAAGACGACCGATTACAACAAGCGGCTTCAGTCCGCCGTTTCCGGGTGGTCAACTGATGCATCGACCGTGAGACTGGTTGATATGCAGAAAAATTACAACTGCCACCCCGAAGGTTGCCCTGACGGCTATGATGGCTTGCACCCTTCGGCTCTGGGAGAGTTTCACATTGCCCAGTCATTCGCAGATGTGCTGCGGAAAGAGTTCGGTGTCGGGAAGAATCCATTTACAGTCGGAAAGGTGCCTGCTAGGGTCGCTACTACGCCGACAAACCTCCAGGCGGCGTCTGTCCCGGCCGGCATCGAAGTCACTTGGGACCCCATCTTCGGGGCGCGAGGCTTCGATCTTCAGTCCCGTAGAAAGGGATCCAGCGACTGGACGGATCGCCACGCGTTAACAAATGCTTATTGGGAAACGTGGGTGTCAGATGGAGATACAGTCGAGTACCGAGTGCGAACATCTATGGGAGACGACAGCAAGTCGCCTTGGACTGGCGCGGTCTCAGCGACCGCTCACCCAAAAACTGCACCGGGACCCAAGAACATTCACGGAACTTCTACAGGAAGTGGCATCACGGCGACATGGGATCCCGTACCAGGGTACAGTGTCAACGTATACGAGTTCATCGTGTTCGATAAAGACCAGCCCGGTGCCATCCTAACCTCGGTCTCCACAAAGTCAACAGGCGCGACCATCAACAATCTCGCCAAGGGCCACAAGCATGTCATCTCCGTGGTGACATGGACCGACGCCGGAGGCGGTTTCCCCAGCGTCGGACCAGACGTAACTGTTTGACGAGAAGCAGTCGCCAAGTCTCGGCTGCCCTAGAATACATGGTTTTCCCAAACACAAAGACACAGGTGTCCATCTGACTCCGTCCGGCAAAGCTATCGAGCCAGCGCACACGAGCATTTGCTGCACGCGTTCGCCGCCCCAGCAGCCGGGTGGTATGAGTTGCCTTCGCACTCGGAGCTAGGCTCCAGGCATAGCTGCGACATCATGACTTTGGGATCGGGCATCCGCCCCCGGCAGGTGACCGTGTAATGTGGCGCCGCTGGGCCTAGGCCTGTCGTTGTCGTACCCTTGCCGCCGGTGCCGCCGCCTTGTGCTGGTGTAGGGTTGGCCAGCGCACTCGAGGCGAGCATGATTGGGAACAAGACGACGAATTGCGAGATCTGCATAGTGGAAGCCGGACGTGTCAAAGACTAGTTCGCAGAGGAGTTGAGAACGACGGCCAAGTGGATGGTAGCTCATAGTCATTACAGAGAGGCAACTCCAACACCCTTTATATTTTCCATGCTTATACGTTACAGTTAAGGAAAAGCACCCTAATTTCATTATTGTTAATTATATGCTGATCGAGGCAAAATCCTCGCGGCATGGAAGCGGCGCCCATCCCTGTAATTCGGCAGCATCACGGCGTTGTGAGTGTACGCGCGGTCAACAACGCCCAAGACGCTCAGGAACAACGCGGAGGGCGGACGTCACTTTCGAGCTGGAGCCTCCCTGTCGACCTTGCGTGCCACCTGGTGCATCGCAGAATAGCAGTGCCATGCGTCCTGCGCCCTGCGTGCGTACATGAGCCGTGCGTCATGCAGGTCTCCGTTGGGCGAACACAAACATGCCTGCACGCAAGAGACATGGATTGCCCTCACCATTATCCCATGTATCGCGTAGACACCAAGTCACGGCTCAAAATATCAAGTCAATATAAACGTACAGCACCTCAGCAGGCTAAAAAAAAAAAATAAGCCGTAGCCCGTCTATGTATGCGTATCCCCAACGCCGCGCAATGCATCCAAACAAGACCCACAACGCCATGCCCGTCATGCTGCTCACGTCTAAATCGCAACCTCTGCAAACCACGTCCTCAACAGCCCGGCCAGTGCACTCGGCAGCTCCTCCAGATTGTGCACAATCAAGTAGTACTGGAACGGGAACGTGTCCAGGTACCGCTCAATCACCACTCTGCTCTCCCCGTCGTCGCCCTTGACGAACTTGGCCTCCTTGAGCTCTAGCACGCTGTCTCCCTTCTTCTTGCCTGTGTCGTCCATGATGATGAAGACGACCATAATGCGTTCCTCCATCGCCTCCCGCAGCAATCGCCGGATCGAGTCATGCGCAGAAGACGGTGTCAGACCGTCCGACAGTATCAGTGCCAGCTGCCAGAGGTCCGAGCTGCCGCCCGACTGCTGTCTCGCGGTTCGGAATGTGTCGATTGTGCGCCGGATCAGCTGCGCAATGTCCGTCCGATCCTGACCGAACGAAAACTTCTGCAGCACCTTGGCACCAGCATCCGCGCCAAACGGATCCGTCAGCTCGTGCGCCGTGAAGACGTCGCTTCCGAAACCGACGACGCCAACCTGTCCCACTTCGAGCATCGTCAAGGACCTCGACACCATTACCAGCGACTCCATCGCGAGGCTTCCTGACGACGACTCTCCCATGCTCTTGCTGTCGTCGACGCACACCATGATCTGATATGTGCGCTTTGTTGGGATCGCTCGACGCATCCAGATCTTGTCTCTCTTGTAGCTGGACGCAATGTATGGGATGATGCGCTTGATGTTGAGTCGCTTGCCTGTGCGGAACGAGCCTGAAAGCTTCGTCGACTGCGACGGCGTCAGGATCAGTCGCAGCTGTGATGTCAGCGACAGGGACAGCGCGTGCGATTTGGTCTGGAACTCGCTCCACTGTCGCATGCATTCCCCGAAGTCGCGGAGTGGCCGCTCGTCCGTGATGTGCGTTGAGGAGAGTTGAGTCGACGTCTCTTCGAGTGGGCCCTCTTCGTCCTTGTCCTCGACAACGCCATCGTCCTGCGCTTCAGGGGTAGGCTCCCGGTTGTAGTTGCCTTGTCTTGTCTTGACCCCCGATCGCTCGTTGTCTGCTTCACTGGCCTTTGCCTCATCAGCTTCCGCAGACTCTCCCAGATCCATCCTGTCGGGCTCTTCAGCTTTCTCTTCGACGTCTTCATTCATCACTCGGCTCGAGGGATCTTGCTTGTCTTCCTCTATTGCCATGGACTCGTCGATAGGTTGCGCTTCTTCGTCCTCGGCCGCTCCCATCGCTTGGGTGTCTGCTGCGGCTTCGTCGTCCTGCAGGTGCTGGAACTCCTGATGGCCTTGGTCTGCTTCTGCCTTTTGCTCGGCTTGCTGCCTGTCGTCGTCAGGATTGGCCTCCTTGATATCTGCTTGCTGACGGTGCCACTTCTCGAGGGCATCGCCGAGTTTGCGGAACGGGTCGCTGCGTGCAGACTCTTCGGCGTTCGCGTCCTGTTCCGTCTGTTGGATCCGGTCGTTGTTCCGCGACGTGGCACCCTTGTTCCCCGCACTGGTGTCTTGATCCGCGGCGCCATCTCCAATCTCACCATGCTCCTGCTGCGCTGCTTCAGCCTGGAACTGCTCGTCCAAATCCATAGCGTCCGCATTCTGGTCCAAGCCGGAACTCTTGACGTCACTTGGGGCAGCATTGTCGGTATCGGCGTTTGCGTTGTCCTTGGACGGGGGCGCTTGGTCTTGTTGCTCCTGCTGCTGTTCCTGCTCTTCGTCCTCACCCTCCGGCTCTTGCTCCGGCTCTTCGTCGACTTGGTCCTCTCCGGTGGCTTGGCCCTCATCCTCAGGCTCAGTCACTTGACTCTCATCTTCTGCCGCTTCGTCTTGAACTTGCTGGGCAGCGGCATCGTCCGCCTCTTCATCATCCACCTGATCCTCCTGGTGTTGTTCCTCGCCCTCCTTTGGATCTTCCTCAATGTCCGACAAGTTGTCCAGGTCATCGTCAGAGGCTTCTTGTTGGTCATCAAAGTCCAGATCCATCTCTTCTGGAAGCTCTAGGGCGTCATTTTCGTCGACATTTTGATCTTGTCGGTTGAGCTCCTCCTGGGCGGTGACGTCTTCCTCCTCCGGGTTCTCCTCGACGTCATCATCATCGGCCTGGGGCTCCTCCGTCTGGTTGGACTCTGGATCTTGCTCTGCCTCATTCTTGTTCACGTCCTCATCAGCGGCCATCTGCTCGTCGTCTTGCTTCTGGCCCGTGCCCTTGTCGCCTTGCTGGTCCTTTTCAGCCTTGTCATCATCGCCGTCCCACATTTTCTCGTCCACAGCAGTCGGGTCCAGGTCGTCGACATCACCGGCCTCTTCGTCGATGTCGTTCTCCTCCTCTTCTTCCCCCTTTTGAGAACCTTCGTCATCGTCGTCGTCTCCAGCCACGCTTCCCATCTCGCCTTCGAGATCCTCGTCCGCCATATCCACTGCGTCCTTTTCATCTTCGATCTCGCCATTTTCCTGTTTGTTCGCTTCTTGTGCCAGCTCAGAGAGGTCTTCGTCGGGCTGAATGTCCTTACTGATGTCTTCAGCACCTTCACCGTCGCCGAGACCAGTGCCGGACTCAACCTGACCTGCATCGCCGGATGTCTCGTCAGATTTCTCCTGAGGCGTACAGAAGCCTTGCGAGGCTATCTGCGTGAAAGACTTCGTCAGGAAATATGCCATGTTGGTAACTGCTCTATGCAGATCGATGGCTCGTTCCACGGACTGTTGGCAGAGAGCCACGAATTGGCCAACGATTGGTGTAGCCAGCCCAATAACACTCGCTGCAGCAGAGCTGATTCGTGTCTCGCCCAAGTCGAGTTGTTGCATATGATGAATACAATTGCGTACGCTTTTTTCGATGCGCTTCATGTGGAGGTGGCTGACAGTTGTAAAGCAGACGTCATTGTGCCTCTGCAACCATCCTGCTTCATCCTCCTCCTTTGGAGCCGAGGCAGCCTTCTTCTTTGCGGACTCAACAGCCACGAGAATGGTGTCCGTCAAGGTCGACACCGTGTCGGCGAATGCAAGGATCTCGATGGATGCCGCGGGAACATCAGATTGTTGAGATTCGGTCTGTGTCCACACGCGGAGCTGCTGGAGAACGAATGCGAGGGTAGGTCGACTTGTTATGAGGCCATCCAACGTAACCTGCAACGTGCAAAGGTCCTTGAGAACCGACCCCTCCAGCTCGTTCTGCGCTTCGGAAACAATGCCGGAAGGGAGGCTACCCAGATCTTTCATGCGAACTAGGTGGGTCTCGACCCGAATTGCCCATGACTCCAGCTCTTGTACCACGTCTTGATTGTCGGCCTGTCCCAGCTTTCCGTGAGCTTCGACAAGCCTGATAGCAAACCTGACCATCTGAGCCAACCACGGCAGAAGGCGAGGCCAATTGTTGATCTGGTCCTGGCGTGCAAGTTGTCGGTTTTTCTCAGTATTGCCTAACGCAATGAACTCGTCCGAAACGGACTGGAGCGAAGAGAGTGCCTCCGTTGCCGCCGTAAGGCTAGTCCGCTGGGACAGGCCAAGGTGAATCATGCCCTCCACATATCCTATGCTCCGCCCAATCTCAGCGCCCGTCAGCTCCTCAGAATGCTCTTGTGCTGCGGCTCGGGCGCGTGGGGCTAGGTCGAGGGTTTTGTGGAAGAGATACTCTGCATTTCGCAGCGCGGCGAAATGTTGGTGGTGGACCGGCGCTGTTGAGGCAAGAACAACAGCCAATGAAGCTTGCTCCATGAGTCTATCTTGACCGAGGTTATGCTTCAAACCCATGTTTCGCAGATCTCGCAACGTGTCTGCGAAAAGCTTGCGTTTTCTTGTCTTGAGATGCTTGACTTGCTCTTTGTTCTCGTCATTTAAGAATGCTGGCGTCTCCTTTCGCAGCTCTGCCATCGATTCGTCCAGTTCCGCGACAAACTCGTCAACGGTTCGGGCGGCGCTTGTTGTCATCTCCGGGCCGTAAGCAATCTTTCTCAGGACAGACACTGTCATCGATGCATTGGCTAGGCGCCGGTTCTTCTCCAGCCACCCGGGAAGAGTTTCTTTCAGCATCGCCGGCATTTTCTGGGATGTTTCCGCTGCCTCAGGAGCAAGCGGCTTCAGGTCGTCGGATGCGAGCTCCTGGTCTGGCAGTCCTTGCTGGATAATGGTCTTCATCTCCTGTCCCAGAACACCTCGGAATTTGCGAACCACTCTGAAGAGCTTTTGGTGAGACTTGCGGGCACTCTCGCGGAGGGCATTGATGTTGGTATCCTTCCAGCTCGCCATGAGAAGCACGTCTTTCATCTTCTTCTCAATGGGTTGGCGGCCTTTCTGTATGGCAGATTCTGCCGCGGGCTCGTACCGAGCGTAGAAGTTGACGAAATTCTCGACGGCGTGGCAGATGATGACCAGTTTCGGGTAGTCCTTAGCTAACAGGCGAAGGTGGTTCAGGAATTGCCTCAACAGGGCGACCCGGGTCTTGAACTGGCCAACAATGGAGCTGGAAAAGTATAACTCCAGATTCTGAATAAGTGCAGGCGCGTACTCTCGGAGGTCTTTCGTCGAGTCCACCATGGACAGAGGAACCGCAACCACGACTTGGTAGGCGACGAACCACCAAGAAAAGGCATCGTCTTGGCACTTCTTCTGCTCCATCTCGAACAAGTTTGCCCAAGTCGACAGTTCCAGACGGCGCCAGCGAATGACGGTATCGGTAAGCGCATCGTGCAGGGGTAGAACGGCGTGCACCTTGCTCGCCCATCCTCCAAACTGCCACTCGTAGACATAAGCATGCAGCTGCTCCACCTTGGGTAGCAGCTTGGCGAGCGGTTCGCCGTGGACCTGGTCGAGGAGCTTGTCGCAGGACTGTACGACGTCTGCCAGTGGCTGCATGTGCCCAATCTCGTCAACAAGCTGCAGCTCCCGGAAACGCGACTTGATCTGGTAGGCTAGTGTGACAAGCTTCCGGGCCTCAGTGAGGTTGGCATCGGTGTAGAAATTGTATGACTTATCCACAGTAGGGGCCCGCAGCTCGTCCAGCTTCTCATTGAGGAGTAACATGGTGGGGGCGAGCAACTTTCTGTTTACCGCGCGGTCGATATGCGGTTGACTTGACGTCTCGGTGGCAACTCGGCGGCCAACAGCCACACAGGCCTCTCGGATGGCAGCCGGCGATTCAAGACTCTCGAAGAAAATCTTCTTATGCAACTCAGCCACTTTTAGAGACGTATCTCGAACCTGATCCGGCTTAATGGTGCGCCGTACGCTGGAATCCTCATCGTCGTAAGTCGGGAACAGCTCGTTGAATTCTTGCTCGTCGATCTCCTCTTCGTCTTCCAATGAGCCTCGGAAACGGTAAAGGCTGGTCTTTGCTGCTTCTGACTTGCGGTCCGCTTCGAGCTTCTTGCTCCAGTCGTCATAAAAGCTATGGAAGCAGCCAAAAACATGCTCACGGTGGTGCAGGGGCAGCTTGCCTGTGCCCTCCACCGCGGTCTTCGCCGCCATCAAGCCGAGATATTCGAAGGATTTCGAGGACAGCGTGCCAACAGGAATATCCCATTCACTGCCACCGAAGAATGGTGCTGCTTTAACAAGTTCGTCGGTGGATTCATCCAGTTTGGCTGCTTTCGCGGTGTCGCAGAGCGACAATCCAACCAGAAGGCATCGCAGTGCATTGACGGCGGGCCTTGTCATGTCTTGGTATGCATCAAATCGTGCAGACAGACGATCAACGAGACGCTTGACATTCTCCCTGACGAGGTGCAGTCCATCGTCGCTGCCGCCGGCTGGAGGCGCGTCGAGGTATCGAGCAGCAGAGGACAGGCTCTGGCCAACAACAGTCTTCAATATGTTGGAGAACTCGGCATGAAGCCTGGTGATTTCCGAAATCTCGGGTCTGTAGACAGGCTGTATCTGTTCCGGCGGTGGACCAAGCTCGGCAAGTTCTTGCTCCACCAGGTCAATGCGGACGCTGATTTCTTGGCCAGTGAAGCTCTGCTCAAATGCCTTCAGAGCCAAGACACTGTCTTGTAACTGGCTTTGGAGTTCTTGGAAGAACTCTAGTTCAGCCCGCGGCCGGAGTTGGGGGTCGAAGACTCGATCTGGAACATAGAGCTTCACAAGCCCAACACTGAATTGAACCCAGGCCAGCGCGCAGAACTGCGCTCTGTGCGCAGGGTTATTCTCCGCAGCCATGATACCAACGATTGCAGGAATGAGATGTAATCGGGTAATATCCCGAAGATGGAGAAGGTCGATTTCCTCGACGAGATCATCAAAGGTGTGGTTGTCTGTCGGCAGGCCGTCTTGAAGTACCTGAGCGGCAATGCTCTGGCAGTTCGCTGCCTGCGCCCGTATAGCATGCGCGAGAACTCGGAAGTGCGAGCCGTGTGCAGCAAGGACCTGGACAATAAGCTGCCAGAGTGTCTCGTTGAGCTTTTCGAGAGGGTCCGCCATGACTTGAGCACTCAGATCAGACAGTGCTCGGCCCATGACGGGAATTTCCGCTTCGAGCAGGGCAAGGGAGCGAAGGCTGACAGCACCCATGCTCTGCATCTTGCTCCAGAGAGATGGAACGAGTTTTCCATCCCAAGTATATGAATCCTGGCGAACCAGGCAGTCAATCGACTGCAACGTGGCTGCTGCCCCTTTTGAACTCGCGAGCAGCATCAGAGCTTTGGTGGGAATACTTGACAGGATGTCAAGGCCCTTGAGCCACCCGACTGGCTTCTCATGCTCCAGCATCGAGAGCTGTCTGAGCGCTTCAAACTCCGGCGCGAAAAAGGGCTTGAAATCTGCTTCATCGTCCCCGATTTTGGCCTCAAGAGACTGAACGGCTGATGTGAGGTCGTTGACCAGCCCATCAACTGCGACCATACCACCGCGCACTATTTCGTATGCCTGTCTCAAAGTCTGCTGTGCCTTGGATAGGTCATCAATAGATGCATTTGCCTTCCAACGGATAGCATCAAATCGGGAGCCAAGTTGGTCTAGGTCCAAGGTCCGATCGAGGGTAGACTTGTCAGGGATCGGAATGGGCCGCAAGACGTCCCACAAAGTTTCCATGCTCAGACCAGTGGACAGCTTGAATCCGCTGTCGAAATCGGCATCAAGTCGATCGAGCACGAATCCAATGATATCAATGTCCTCCTTAGCGGCGAACTTTTCGGATTGACTCTGGAGGAACCCGACACCGAGAGCCAGGTGCGCTTGGAATGCAGCTTCATCGAAGTCGGTGGCCGTCGAGAGTCGCAAGGTTCGTTCAATGTAGAGGCAGATGAGGCGCAAGAAGTGGGCGCGCTCTCTGAATGCTTCGAACGACCCGAAGTCAGAGGCTAGATATTCAAGTGCCGTACCAATGACAGCGGACATGAACGTGGCCAATTTGACCGTCGAGTCCTTGGACACAGCCGCAACTCGATCGCTGATCAAAGAACGTTGCAATCGACTCAATGTCGCCAGCTTGGCGGAACGAGCTTGCCCACGTTGCTCCTCGATAAGACCCCGAAGGCCGTGAAGGGTACGGGTATACCCGTATCGAATCGCCATCCATTGAGGCTCACCGCTGCTTGGAAGAAGTTGCGAGACAGCCGGGTTGCTGAGCATGTGGATGGGCTGAACGGTCGAAAGGCCGGTTGACGCCGCCTGGGGAATAGTCGAATACACCCTTATGATCGCACGCAGGGTGTCAGACCCGGTATTTGAATGCAAGAATTCAAGGATGTCTTGCATCGCCTGAAGCGACTTCCCGTCCTGGACGACCCTGCCTGGCTCATTGACAAATCGGGGTAAGAGGGACACATCTTGCAGTGAAAGGTTGTCGACGGCCACTCGAGAGATAGCTACCTCTGAAGCAAACTCCTGGCACAGTTCCCGCGATTCTCGGAATCTTTGAAGCCCACTTTCAATGCTGGACATCCGATCAAAGCAGGGGTCCATGGCTGGAGGCGGTGTGTTGATATGTATCTCGATAGCACGATTTCGCATCGCCCGTGACAGCTCTCCATAGCGTGGATCCATTGTCAAAAAGATTCTGAACTCGGGGTGTGGTCGGATGACTCTAGGCTTCCCGTCTGAGTCGCAGTGCTCGTTGATGCTCAGGAAGCCGTTTGGCTCCAGAAGTGAATTGAGTCGGTCCAGAACAGAAGCATTACACATGTTGGCGTTGTCCAGGACCAGCCACTGCCCGGTCTCGAGGGCTTTGACAATGACTCCATCGAGCCACTCGAAACGAGGATTATCAAGAGCAAGCGGGCCTCGAAGGAGTTCAACCGCCTTAGAGAGCGAAACGCCAACATCAGAGTTGATAGAAACTTGTGTCAAGAGAGTCTCAACGGCGTCATGTATGGCTGCAATTTCGTGCGTATGCCCAGAGAAGCTTTCAAGCAGCTGTAACAGTCGCAATACTTCAGCCGGCACTGCGGCCGGGGCCAGTGACATGGCGGATTCTTGGAGGAAGGCGTTCAAGTCTCGAAGAGTCGCGTTGATCTCTCGCAGCGGGTCAGCCTGCTCAAACCCGCCCACCAAGTCCATCGTATCAATGTCGGCATTCATCGGGAAGACAACAAGAGGTTTTCCTGCCATGGCGGCCACGAATCGCAGAAGAGTCGATTTCCCAAACCCTGACGTGCTGCTAAGAATGCAGGGGATGTTTTGTTCCACGCAAATCATGACAGACTCTAGCTCCGAAAGCCTGGGGACGACATCGAGGGTGGGTAGCCGCTCGGGTTGAGAGTTAAGGTTCCTTCGAAGCAGAGCCAGACCGACCTGCCCGAATCTTGAATTGGTGTCGTGGTACAGGTGGTGCGATCGGGGCGCCCAACCCACGACTCGGGTGAAAAGCTTGTTCACTTCTGCGCGGTCCTTTTCGGTGCGGAATCGTTGGCGCACGAGGATGTCCAGGAAGTCGTCCACCCGTGCGGTCTGAAGTAGAGGGTCGGTTGAATTGAGCAGGTTCAACCAGCGTAGGACGTCACGCAAGTTGAACTCCCAGGGCCCGCCCTGTACGCCAAACGACTTCTCCACAACAAGCTGGTGGTCTATTTCCGAGACGAAGTCGATCAGATGGCCGACAACCTCAGCAGAGAGCTTGGGGAAGTTGTGGGACGCGATCAGCTTGAGATCTTCATCCTTGAGAACATCGGCGTAGACCACGATAAAGCGATTGACAAAGGATGCCGGGAGACCCTTGCGACCGCCGCCTTGATGGTGAGGGTTCTGTGCCGCAAAGAGTCGAAAGTCGGAATGTCGCTTGAAGACTTGGTCGAGTTCAGAAATGTAGACCTCGCCACGGTGATCCAAACAGGCGTTCAGACCCTCTAGAACGGACTGGGACGCGAGATTCATCTCGTCCAGAAGCACCCACTCACCCTTCTGCATTGCCTGCAGGAACGGTGCATCTCTCCAGGCAAAATTGCCTGCTTCTTCGCCTTCGACCGGAACGTCAGTACCAAAGAGATCCATCAAATCAGTCTGGTCGGACAAGTTGATGCGCGTGAGTGGTCGTCCACAAGCTTGTGACAAAGCTGCCACCAGAGATGTCTTTCCTACACCGGGGCTTCCCTCGAGAAGAATCGGCTTGCGCATTTGTAGCGCCCGCACGACTCGCATGGCGTTGAGTCTGGTGGTCGGTGCATGGAATGCGAAGCCCGGGTCCGTCGCACCTGTCGGGGTACGGGGCGTGCTAAAACTGCCAATAGAAAGCAAGTTGTCTCTCATGACTAGCTCGGGCTCCGAGTCATACGTAGAGGATATGTCGCGATCGAGAAGCTGCCCAAGCCTGACAAGACACGCCATTCTCTGTTGATTGATAGACTTGAGGTCTGTCGCTAGCATAGCCGAGGGGTTGGCGCCGATGCTATCAATGAAGATAGCTGACGCTCCATGGACGAGAGACACCACCGGATCCTTGGTCTCAAACGTATTAATGAACTGCACCCAACCGAGGATCTCTCGGACTGAAAACGGGGTGGTGGCCATTGACCTGAACGTGTCACCGAACCACGCTGCGAACTGAACCATAGCATCTACGAGATGCTTAGATCCATCGGCAAGTTTAGTCCGCACGATGTCGTAGATGTCGTCACTCTCTGATAGAGGAGGGACCCAAATTTCCGTGAAACGGTTGCGAAGCGCAGGGGACAACTCCTTCTTGCCGAAGTCGCCGCCGGGATTCATGGTGGCAAAGAACTGGAAGCCCTCGGACCCGACGACGAACGAGTTGTCTATGCCCTTCTCGGCTAAGAGGAGCGTGCGCTGCGGCTCAAGAACCGAGTTGAGGCGTTCCAAAACCGAATCATCGGCGAGTGAGATCTCGTCGAGAAGGAAGAAGTGACCACCGCGCATAGCCTCGACCAGGGCGCCGTCCGACCACTCAAAAAGGGCTTTGGCTCTCGTTTGATTTGTAGCAACGCGTTCAACGACTTCGATGGGAACCGCTGCGAGAGACGACGGTTCAAGGGCCTTGTAAGCTGCAAGCTTTTCATCCACCGAACCTGTGGCATCCACGCCCAAGACCTCAAAAATGGATCGGAGGTCCGCGTCCAAGGCCTCAAGTATTGCACCGCGGTTGCGGATGGGCCTTTGCGAGCCGATCAGGTCTCCGGTCTCGGTGTTTTGGTGGGCGTTCACGATATGCAACTCTTGGTGAAGGGCTTCGGCAAGGAGCTGACAGACGGTGGTCTTGCCACAGCCTGTCTCGCCGACCAAAAGCACAGGCTCGTTGTTCTGCAGGGCTCTGAAAACGAGCACATACAGCCTCCGCATGGCATGAGTCCACACAACACCCTGAGTATTTTGCTTCTTGGTAAGATGTCTGAGTTCTGGTGCAACGTCTGCGGCATAGAGGCGCTGAGGGTCAATCTTGACTTTGAAGACCCTCTCAATCACCTCCTTGACTGCGAGCCTCTCTTCCTCGTTCCTGACTCTTTCGGCGAGAAGCATGAACCCGTGAGAGGCAATCTCGTCTCTGGTCTCTGCTTCACGAAGAGCCCACCGGAACAAGTCTCTCAGTGTCGCAAAACTGTCCTTTTGTTCGAACAAGCGGCTGGTCTGGCGCAGTCGCGAGAGTTCCTTGTACACGGTGACAATGCGTCGACAATCCGGTGGTGACGTGTTGCGGCTGCGCTGCTGCAAAATGTACTCCAGCTCGTCCTCCGGAATGTCATCGAAGTGAAGCTCTAAGAATCTGTTTCTGAAGGCCCTGGAGAGCACTTTGCGGCCACCGTAGAGACCAGGCGGATTTTGCGTCGCGAAAAGAATAAAGTTCTCGTGCGGTCTAACAACTTCTTGGGTCTCAGGGATAAGAAGCTCGCGATTGTCGTCCAGCAGTCTGTTCAGCGCTTCTAGGACGTCGGTCGGCGCTAGATTGAGCTCGTCGAGAACAATCCAGTGACCCTGTCTCATGGCCTGAACAAGCAGACCTTCCTGGAAGCGCAGTTTCCCATCAGGACCAGACACATACGTGCCAAGATACTCTTGAAGGTCCGTGTGCTCGTGGTTGTTGATACGAACAAACTTGTTGCCGGTGAAGTTGGCCAGATATTCGATCATGCTCGTCTTTCCGGCAGATGTGGGACCTTGGATGAGGATGGGGAATCGTCTCGTAGACGTAGCGCGAACCAAGTTCAGCAGATTCCGCTCGACGTACGGTGTAATGATGTAGTCATCCCTCTGGACGGGGCTTTCCTCGCCTTGAAAGAGCCAGTACTGGCGATCACGGTTCTGGTTCTGAAACTTGACATAGCGTCTCCCGTCGCTTGGATGCTTGGGCGTTTGAGATAGGAGGGCGTGGGGGTCTCCATGTTTATCGAGAAGGTGGTGATAGATGAGAGGTAGAAGCATCGTCTCTGAGTCGCGATTGAGGAGGGTCAGAAACCCCATGGAAAAGCCTTCATATAGCGCTCGACGCACGCCATAAAGTGGCGCAATAGTGTTCACATAGCTGAGCACTCGAGTCAGAGTTCGCAAGCTGAAGTGAGGCACCTCGTTCGCTCCGTCCACCAGCCTTTTCTCCTCAGCCATGCGCTTGGTGTTGAGATACAGTCGTGCAATGTCGTCGGCCGCTTGATCGTGCTTCGTGCTTGTGCTCCCCATGTAGGTTTTGATGATCGTCAACAGGTCCTTGAGATCTGTGTCGGGGCTCTTGACGTAGAGCTCTGTGAATCGCGAACGTATGCCAACGGGCAGGTCTCTCTTCCCAATATCTGTTGCCGGGTTCATCGCGCCGAAGATGCGGAAGTTGGGGTGCGCCACGATCTTCTCAATCTCTCCCGTCTCGGAAAGCAGGATGCATGGACGCTCATCGGGGCCAGTCAACAGATCGGCAATACTTTCCAGCGTATCGGGAGAGGCCAGGTTGATCTCGTCCAAGAGCACCCAGTCGCCGTTGCGCACAGCCTTGACAAGGTTCCCCTCAACAAAGGAGAACGCAAAGGCCCCGGAGCCCCCGGAAATCTGCATGTCGAATTGCTCGAGGCTGCGAGCAAACGAGTCCCACCGCGGCCGCAGTTCCAAGAGCGTCTGCAACTTTGACTGGGTCTTTCGACGCTTGGTGGGCTGCGCATCGTCGTCTCGCGCCTCCGAATGCATCCGCTCAAGTTCCGTAATGATTTTGACAAACATTTTCGGGGCTTCTTTCCATAGCTTAGACAGTTTCGACCACTGTCCTTTGGCGACGCATTTGCCAACCTGCTCCAAATACTTCTGGTTCTTCGAGGCAGAAATGCCGGTGGCCGAGAAAAGGTCCTCGAATTCTTCTTTCAGGGGGACTGCGAGGCTCCGGACATTGACGGGTTTGAAGCCACCTAGCAAATCACCAACCTCGCTCTGTTGGGAGAGGTTGACGGCAATGAGCTTATGTCCCAGAGATTCTGCCAATTGCTGTACGACTGTGGTCTTGCCGATACCCGTCTCGCCTACCAACAGCACTGGCTCCTGCAGCTTCACTGCCACGGCAATCTGCTCCAGAAGTCTCTTGGCGTGTGCCGTGCTCGCAAATGGTCGCTTCGACTTTTGCAGTCGAGTCGTTCTCTTTTTTCTCAGTTGGGCGCGCCCGATTCTGAAACTGAGATCGCTCTCTTCCAAAGGGGGTATATTGGCGGACAGGTAGTGGTCCGCCCGTTCTTTGGACATGTGCATCTCTTCAGCAATCGCATAAACCAGACTCTTGCCCAGCTCGATGTCTGGGCAACTTCCGACGAAGCAGTCGAGCGCCTCCATAAACATCCAGTCTCGAGTGGTTTCGCTGATGGGTTCATCTCCAGATGTTGATCCCGCTGTAAGGAGACACTCTCTCAGTCTCCGACACCACTTGAGGAGGTCTCTCAAGTTCATCTGTCGATCCATCACGCTCCGCCCACGAGACATGAGAGCCGGGCTGTTACCCATCTGAGACAGACGCCGGTGAACAGCCAGAATTCCGGGGACAAACTTCCGCAGCATGGGGTATGTTTGCAGCACCACATCCTCAAGCTCTGGCTGCGTGAGGGGTTCCGTGGACAGTGATTTCCAGAAACGCATTCCCACCAGGCTCGGTAGGTTCTCTCGGCCATTCATGCCACGGGATGTCCGGACGGTAGCGAAGAGGCGGAAGCTGTTGGCGGCTCGTATTCTCTCTCCGCGGCTTGGAATGAGCAGTTCCTTTCGCTCAATCAGTGGCAACAGGGTGCTGAGAACCTCTGTCGGTGCCCGATCAAGATCCTCCACCAGCACCCATCGGCCCTCCCTAACGGCGGTAGTCAGGACGCCCGGCCTCCACTGGAAGCTTCCTGGCTTGGAGTCCGTCGAGTACAAGCCAATGAGCATCTTTGCGTCGGTCTCTTCGTTCAGATGCAACGTGACCATGCTGGAGTACATGCCCAGTTGGCGAGCTACTTCGTGGATCAAAGCAGTCTTGCCGACACCCGGAAGGCCGTGCAGAAGGACTGGGTCTGATTCTCGAAGCATTGAGGCCAGGTTCTCGAGATTCTTGGTGGTCGTCGCTGTCATCACAAGGCTCGATGGGTCGCCAATGGGACCGTGTGGGCGAGGCAGGAGGGTTCTTCCGTATGACACGACGTACGGGGTAACACTATGTACCTGGGTGGCCGCATCAATGCTCTCCTCGTCATGTGTGACTTCGCTTCGTAATGCGACAACTGCCTTGGCTCGGTCATTTTCATGAAGCGACAGGAACCCGAAGTCAATGGGTCTTCCGTCCAGATCGGCAATGACGGCTTCGTCTTTTCCAACGTGCGCATCGACCAAGGTCTCGAGCTTGAAGTCGGAAGCGTGGAGCAGCTGGCAGAAGATGCGAATCGCCACATATCGCACCGCCCGGCTATCGTGGCTGAACAGATTCTGCACATATGTCGGCGAAACCAAGGGGGTAAATGTCCGTGGGTCAAAGCTCAAGAGCCTCCATGCCGTCACGAGGCTCTCTAGCAAGCTGTCTGTGCTCAGGTTGGGCGATGCAGTCTCGTCCAATTTGGGGAGTCGCAGTCGTAGTGCTGGGGGTTGGTTCCCCGTCGGTGTCTCACCGGCAGAAGCCGTGAGGAAATTTGAAAGATATGGGGCAAATGGTAATATACGGGCAAAGGCGGATGAGATTCGTATTTGACGAGATGTATCGTTGCCTGCGTTGAGAATCCAGCGTGCGCAGAGGTCGGGAAAAGCGTCCTCAAAGTGCACAAAGACTCGCTCTGTAAGTCGCGGGATGAGCGCCGCCTGTGAGACGGCATCCATGAGGTTTGTCGACGAGGTGTTCCGGATAATGTCGAGCAAATCCGGGGGCAGATGATCCAACGCAGTCGCGTCCCGTAGGAGCGACCTCGTCTGCCGCGAGACGTCAATCATGGCCATGATTGCGCCGTTGTCGACTTGGAAGTTTTTCCTCAGATGCGTTTTCAGTCAGAGGCGCCTTCCTAGTGCAATCATATGGACTTTTTTTTTCGAGTGACGGGAAGGTGCAGGGGTTCTGCGTCGGCGGTGGTACTACAAATATCCGAGCCAATCACCGGCGCCGCTGCGGTCCCAGCGCCGAGCGTCCAGCGACCACCAGCGGCATGGGCAAGCTCGAAAAACTTCAGGGTGCTCAATTCGAGGCTGTTTGTCGAAGGAGAAACCCGCACGCGACACCCGCCTCGAACGTCCCGTTCCCGCACCTCGCCCGCCCTCACACCCCATCACAGCCATGGCCATGTCTTGTCGGTACGCGGCGCGCAGCTGCGCCCGCCAATTGCGCTCCGCCAGCGCGGCCAGATCCTCTGCACAGATGCTTCGCGTCGCCTCGACGACACGGCGATTCAACTCGACAGAGGCCGCCCCGACCAACCCCAAGATCGCCGAGATTGTCGACCAGATCAGCCAGTTGACGCTTCTGGAGACTGCCGACCTCGTCTCCAGCCTCAAGGTAGGTGGACCGGGCCATCGATTGGCGGTTGGTGGCATTGGCAGCTAACGATTGCTTCCAGACCAAACTCAACATTCCCGACATGCCCATCGGCGGTTTCGCCGCTGCCGCTCCCGCCGCCGCGCCGGCCGCTGCCGAAGAGGCTGAGGAGGCCGCCCCCGCTGCCGCCGAGAAGACGCTGTTCACGCTGAAGCTGCAAGCCTTCGACGCCGGGGCCAAGGCCAAGATCATCAAGGAGGTCAAGGGCCTATTGGGCCTCAGTCTGGTCGACAGCAAGAAGTTCGTCGAGAGCGCTCCCAAGATGATGAAGGAGAACATTCCCAAGGAGGAGGCCGAGAAGATCATTGCCACCATGAAGGAGCTGGGCGCGACGGTTGTGATGGAGTAGAGTAATACCCTGGTACCGCAACAAGGACCTGGGTGGGATGACACGATAGATGGCGGGTTTGCATGTACAAAACCACGTGTACTAGTATCTAACAGAAATGTACCATTTTCAAATGGGATCAGCCTTACTCAGTACCACGATGTGCCTGAGCCGCGCCAGGGGGCAGTGTCGCGACAAGGAGCACAATCTCACGCGCGCGCAGACAAGTCTTTTGGCCGAGAACGAAATCATGCATGGGTATCTAACAGTATTTCAACCAACCCATTTAGCGGAAATCCGCATGGAAACGCGCCGTAACGCCATATCATGCCTCTTTTCATGCTCCGACGCGAACCTCAATGCAGCTGACCGTTTGCCGACGACTGTTTGTGTGGACACTGTTGCAACTCCATCTCCTTGATAAAGTCCTCCTCTTCTTCCGTCACGAGTCGATCGTCATCTTCGCCGAAATCGCTAGTTTCCTCCCACAGCTTGTTCAGCTCCGCATCGTCGCCTTTGGGAACGGCCCAGATGCTCTCTCTCTCTCGCTTGTGTCGCTCACGGTCCTCTTCGATCCGCTGCTCAATCTGCCGCTTGTCCAGCCTGTGCGGCGCCGGCCGCCTGCTGTTCTTCGGGGTGGGTTGCGCCTGCGGTCTGTCCACCATCTCGACGTCGACGGGAGAAGACGTGAGGCCTAGGTCGTCGTCGTTGGTTTCTCTCTCTTTCAGAACGTCCTCTATCTGCGTGACGGTCTGAGATTCTAGGTGCCCCTTGCCCTGAAGGCCTTGCAGAACCTGCAATGGGGTCAGCACCAGGAAGATCCAAGGGGAACACGAGATAGATGGAGTTGGAGCGGCGCACCTTTCGAACGACCTTCACGTTTGCGGCCCCTGAGCCGTCGTCGGGTGCCACGGCGTCAACTACCCGTATGATATCACGCTGCATCATGCGGATGTAGTCTGCGTGGCCCTCCTTGGCCAAGTCCAAGAAGTGCTCGATGAAATACATTATGTTGGCCCGGGTATTCATGTTGTTCTGCCGTCAGGCGTTAGCGCATATGCGCGCGAATGAGAACTTCGAAGAGGGGGCGCACTTTCTCAAGCTGCTCTAGTATGCACGAGTGCAGGTCCTCGTCCATGTCCTTATATTTGAGCGCATACTGGGCAGCTTTTTGCGCAGAGTTGACCGAGGCATTGAGATGCTGCAGCTGCGAGCTAAAGTGCATGCGCACCGCAAAAGGATCCGCCATCGTGCACGCCCTGTATCCCTGCAGCTCAGGATAGGCGGCAGACTCAAGTCGCGGCGTGTGAATCCGAATAAATGTGTTTTGTTGCGGCTGGTGAGTATGTGAGGTGGTTAACATGGACGTGGGTGGACCAGGCACTGTTTTGTGAGACGCGGATTCTCGGTGAGTGGCGCGCTCCTCTCGGTGAGCGGGCCAGGTGAAGAAGGCACAAGGTGGGGTGGCGCTGCTGCCACGCCATGACAGCCCCGCGGCAAAGCTCCGGGAACCCCCGCGCAGCCGGAACCGGAGGCGCCCAGTGCTGCACGATGACAGTAAGCTCGTCCAGTTAGCACTGAGCAGCCCGAAAATCTCGCGACTCATGGCACTGGATACCGTCGGCTGAGCCGCTTCTGCCCCATTCAAGGCCCCCTGTCTGCTTGTATACCCATCTTTGAACTGTTCACGAGCTCACTTGCCTATTCTTCATCTTAACAACCTCGATCCTTAGCTGCTCAAGAGAGATACTTCAAAGGTCTCTCACATTTCGCATACCTGATCAACTGCCCCTGCATACCCAACGCCGCCAAGATGCTTGCCCTTCCTCAACATGAGCACTCGTCTTCGGACTTCACCATGACCGTCCTGGGCTGCGGTACGAACGTCCCTCTCCAGAACACATCTTGAGAGCCGAGAACTCATTCATCTCCCCAGGTACCATGGGCATCGCCATTCTGAATGGCATCCTCACGTCACTGGCCGAGCTCAACGGCCCCAAGCCCCTGCAGACGCCAACGTCCGGCACGTCGACGCCGTCAGAGGAGCTTCCGCCTTCGCTGCCCTCGCGCTTCATCGCCTGCGTGCGCAGCGCCGAGAGCGCCAAGCGCGTCAAGGCCGCGCTGTGGGAGCACTCCTCCGTCGTCAAGGTCGTGCAGAACGACAACATCGCGGCCGTCCAGCAGGCGCAGGTCGTGCTCCTCGGCTGCAAGCCCTACATGGTCAAGGACGTCTTGGGCCAGCCCGGCATGGCTAAGGCCCTGCACGGCAAGCTCCTCATCAGCGTCTGCGCCGGCATCACCGTCGAGCACATGGAGGTTGCCTTGCACGGCGCCGTGTCCTCCAAGGACCCAGAGGAGGATGGTCGCTGCAGAATCATCCGCGCCATGTGCAACACCGCTGCTCTCATCCGCGAGTCCATGACCGTCATCGGCACGTCAACCCCGCCTCTGCCCCCGGCAACCAAGGCCCTCGTGACCTGGATCTTCAAGCGCATTGGCGATGTCGTCTACCTCCCCGCGAGCAACATGGACGCTTCCACTGCTCTGTGTGGCTCTGGCCCCGCCATGTTCGCTCTGATGCTTGAGGCCGCCATCGACGGAGCCGTCGCCATGGGCCTGCCCCGCGCCGAGGCCCAGAGGATGGCTGTCCAGGCCATGAGAGGAACGACTGGCTTGGTCCAGTCCGGCGAGCACCCAGCCATTCTGAGAGAAAAGGTCTGCACGCCGGGCGGCTGCACCATTGGTGGGCTGCTTGTTCTCGAGGATGGCGGCGTTCGGGGTACCATCTCCAGAGCCTTCCGTGAGGCTACTTGCGTCGCGAGCCAGCTTGGAGAGGGCGTCAAGAACGTCAACGGCACCAGACCTGGTCCTGCCCCAGGCAGCCAGTGAGGTGCGTAGAGAAGCAGCGGCTGCGTCGCGGTCTTGATGAAGGAAAAGCCTCAATGACTTGAGTTGCAAGATAGAGGTACGGATGATACTCCCCGGCAACGGCGCTGTTGATGTTTGAGGCTGGACACATCACGAACGACATGAGAAAAAAAGGGATCGAGCATTAGGCTCCGCTTATAGACAGGTACACATGATCTTACATATTGGCACGACCTAAACGCCAGTTCCGAGTATGCGTGAACCCTTGCCGGGCACCGTTCATTCGTCCTCGACCCTAGCCTTCTTGCTGGGCTCGGCAGCCTCAGCTTCGTCCAGCTTCCGCTTGCCATTCGACTCCCTCCGCGGAGAAGTCTCCGCATGCGACATGGCTCGCTCGTGCGCAGCAAGTACTCGTGCATACTCCAATTCCACGCCTGTCAGGGTCTCCCTCAGCTTCTCGATACGCTCCGACTGGTCAATCTGCGCGAGGAGTTCCCTGTTTTGCTTGTAAAGCCGCTGCTTGACAATCAATTGCCACAGTCTTTCCTTGTGCTTGTCCGCCTTGGTTGGCTCCGGGACGATGGCGTCCAGGTCCAGGCTCGGTCGCACCGAGGGCGGCAACTGGGACATGAGGTGCATCTCCAGGACACGTGCAAACTGTCGAGGTGCAATCTTTGCCTTTTTCCTCACGTCTTCGATCGTGTCGGCGCCCAGAATGAGAGCAGGCATAGGGCCGGATTTCGGTATTGTCACCGAGCTGTCAAGGAGTAGCGCCTGGAATTCGGGCATTGTGTTGAGAAAGGTGAGGTCGCAGATGTCTCGCAGGTCATCAAACACCTCGCTGGGGTTTTCCACGGTGAACTCGTGGGTCTGGGGATGTTTGTGGTAGTAGTCGAAGATGGTCTTGTACAGGAGATGGCCGTTGCCTTGGCCCTGGAACGGTGGGAGAATAATGAACTGCGACAGTCGTGTTCGGCAAGGCAGCTCTGCGAGATCCATGTGTCCCTCCGGCAGCTCCCAGTCCTCCCTGGGGGACTGAGGAGGTGTGGGTGGCTGGAAGAAGAAGAAGCGGTAGACGGTCGAGTATCCGACGAAGATGTACGACTTCTTGCCGGGCTCAATGTCGGACGGCTGCGTCTTGTACAGGAAGAAGAGGGTCCAACGGTCGGCATCAGAGATGTTGATGTCGGGCGACTCCGACTCGGTGTCTTGACCAATGTAGGTGCCGCCTTCGATGAACAGCGGCACAAATATCTGGACGCGGGTGTTGAGCTGTCGGACGGCCGCGTCATCCAGGCTGCCTCGCCAGACCTCGTATTGACCGTCTGCACCATTGAGGGTCGCATGAAGCTTGCCCGGGGGGGTGTAGTTATCTCCAAGCTGCTTGGAGCCACTCTCGAAGTCCGAACCTTTGACAAACGCAACTATTGGAGGGTCAGCATTGATCACAGAGGTGAGGCAGCGAGTCGATCGCACGTACTCTTTGGAAGGTGGTGGCCCTCGTCCAGCACGCCCACCACATCAGTCGGCTCCTCTACACCGGGGGCTGGCTTCAGCTTCTTGCTGTAGGTTGTGTGCACATGCGGTCGCATGTCGTTGGCGCGGAAGCGCAGACTGATCTTGAGATCCTTGTAGCCAAAGATCTTCTCATCGTCGCCGAAGATGGGGTATGTGAACTTTGGGTGAAAGGTGGCGACGGGCTTCACGCCAGACGCAGTCGGCGAGACGAGGGTGATGGAGAGCGCGCTGCCGGCCTCTTGCATCCCTAGCGATCTGTCAGCAAACGGCGTCAGAGGTGCGCAATCATCAAGCACCGTGGCGGCTATACATTCTTCCAGATCCTGAACGGACGCCATCGCCGCGGTCCGAGAGCTATTGAAGCTTCCGATAAGGCGCCCGGTCTCTTGCTGCCCGGCTTGAAGTGGCGTTGCGAGTGCGGTTCGAGTTCACGGCCAAAACGTGCGTGATGGTGGTCCCAGCAGGTGGATGTCGCACAAGTCGGAGACGCGCCTGGGCGAGGCGCTGCCGCGTTTCAACGCGCCTTGTCAATTAAAGGTTGAGGCCCCACAATTAAGGCATCAATTTGACCCGGCCCACCTGTACCTCAGGGTCTCGGCCTCGAGGCTCCAGTTGGCTGGTACAAAGGCCAATGTGCCTGCAAATTGGCGCCCGCTGACGGTTGCGTCATGAGACCCCACGAGGCCCCTGCGACTTGCGACGTCCAGGTCCCAGGCACCTGTTTGTAGCTGCGCCTGTTGGCATCCTCGCCTCTCACCGACCGGAGTCTCGGACCACGACGCTTTGCGCCTGCCTTGGATTCCACCTCGCCTGCACGGATGGCTTCTTCTCCCAGCTGCGCACCATCATGGCAGACATTATGAGCGCGTCAGTGCCCGTCGGCTCCATCATCTTCTCCGTATTCGCCCTCCTCATCATCTCCGTCGCCGTCCTCCTGATCCTGCGCCACTACCTCCCGCTGCGCACCACGCCCGCCTTCTACCTCGTACCCATCTTCTTCGCGCTATGGCTACCCCTCGTCGCCATCATATTGGTCCCCATAGACCTGGCGACGAGCGCCGCCACTGATGACGAGGCGACGCGCGGGATCTGGCTCCCGCAAAGGGTGGTCCTGGTCTCCTGGCGCATCACATACTGGCTTACCTTTGTCCTAACATGGTGCGCGCCCTGCGGCTCCTGCAGTCTGCCCTTTCTGACTCTCCGGCTACAGGTTCATACTCCCCATCCTTGCCGAATATTCCGACGCCGGATACCGCGAGCCCAACGACAAGCTGCGATACTCGTTGCGCCAAAATGCCCAATTTTACGCCATCGTCGCTGCGGCAAGCATCGTGGGCCTCGTCTACGTCGCAATCGCATACCGCCTCACATTCGATTTGCTGAAAGGTCTCGTCATGGCGCTTGCGTATTGCTGGGGCTTATTCCTCGCCATCTATCTCATGGGCCACGGGCTGGTGTCCATCCCGAGACAGCTCATCCGCAGCGCGAGCATCAGTGGCCAGCTACGCCGCTTGCAGAGCCGCGCGCCGAACGCCTACGAGAAGATGGAAGACGCGCTCGTCACCCTCCAGGAGATTGAGCTCCAGGTCAGGGAGCTAGGCCGGCGAAAAACGGGCACCGCCATGGACTTCCAGGACTGGATCGAGGAGCTGCAAGACCTCGCCAACGTTCCACTCAATCAACCGCCATCCTCTATCGCGTCTTTGACGTCGCACGACCGCATCATTCCTACGGTCATCACCGAAAAATACTTGGCCGACCTGACGCGAAAGCTCGTTCGCGCACGGCATGCCCGGTCACGCTACGTGGATGAGTGGGATCGACTAGTGCACGAGGCGTCGGAAATGCAGACGATTCTCGACTCGGCGGCCTCCAAGAAACTGGACTTCGGTAGCGCTTCACCCAATTCTGGATTCTGGGAGACGACGACAATGTTGACGCCGTACACCCGATACCTCTGCTACTATCACATCTTTCCATATGCACGCTTGGGGCTGGGCTTTTTCCTGGCTGCAGCCTCCGCCTGCATCGTATGGTCCGAGTTCGTCAAGTTCCCCTTCCCAATGCTCTCGGTTGTTCGTCTTAGCGTCATTCATCACTGGGTGGGAAATAAGGCGCAGGTTGGCTTCGCTGGCCAGATGATCTCGGCCTTTTGGATCTGCTATATGTGCGCCGCCGCTCTTACCTCCATGACCGAGGTCAAGGTCTGGCGCGGGCGGGCGCTCGTCAAGCGCAACACGGCGCACGAGGCCGCATTCTGGTACGCCACGCAGGTGGCCAAGCTCTGCGTACCGCTGTCGTACAACTTCTTGACGCTTCTCACGTCCGAGGTGTACAAGAAGACGACCTTTTACAATTTTCTCGGCAGGCTGATCAATGTTACGGATCTCGGACGGTGGTTCGATAACCTCTTCCCCATCGTCGTCCTGGTCCCTGTCGTCGCGACGCTCTTCGGCGTCTACGGCAAGGTCAAGCGATTCTTCGTGGGCATCGACATCATCGACGAGGAGGACGGCAACCCGTCCAATTACGGCACCGGGTCCTGGCGCGAAGGTCGCGACTTGATCGAGCGAGAGCTAGGCGGCAATTCTCTGCTTCGGCGCCGCGAGGACGCCATCGCCAGGCTCTCTGGCGCTGGTGCTGGTGGTGCTGGTGGCGGCAGCGCCGCCGGTCGCTCCGCTCCCGTCCTGTCTGTCCCCGCCGTGAGGGACTCGGCCGCCTCCCCTGCACGCTCCCCGGTGCGCTCCTCGACCAACCCGCGTCGCAACCTGGGCCAGGGCTCGGCGCGCGTGCCTTTCTCCGACGAGCCGCCCGAGGACGACAACATCTTCCAGATCATCGGCCACCGCATGAAGAACACCATGGACACTATCGAGACGCCAAAGTGGATGCAAGACTTCGGCAGCGGCATCAAGAAGCCCAAGTGGATGGGCGGCGGCGGAGGTGGCGACGACAGCGGGGCTGCCGGCCAGGGCGGCGGCGGCGACATCAGGAGGTGGTTCGGGGGTGGTGGTGGCGGTGGCAGCAACGGCGGTGGCGGTGGGCAGATCCGTATCTGAGGTCTTTGTCCCGATCGTGGAATTCTGCTTTCTTGGACATGAGCCTGTTTGAAATTGCATCGTTGCGGCGTTCCTGGACCTCTATCCAGCCAGGGAGTCAGCTCCCTCTTTGGCTGGATAGCCATAGACTATTTGAACCATAATTACAGCCGTACTACTAGCCTTCGAATTCACAGAGGTTGCTTTGCAAAAGGCACTTTGAACTGTTCTCTGTATTCTGCTATATATGTGACAAACCTGTATGTATAATATGATGCTGCGTTTTGATGCCGATGTCATAAATCGTAAGTCATCGTGGAAGAAGAAAACTATATACCTGAACGCCAGTCCAACGTTGTGATCCAAACTGAGATCATGATTTCATGCTCGCTTGCGGCACTTTCCGCCGCGCCTGTTGCCTTCGTGTCACTGTCAAACTCCTCACCGCTGCTACGCGCTCGTGGGTGATGTTATCGTGTTCCAGGTATTCGCCTTGCTCATCGTCCTCTTGCGCAGGTGGAACATGATGTCCTTCTCCATCTTGTCAATGTTCTTCTCCAGGTCCGCGTCGTCAAGCATGTACTGCGCCTCGCGGCGACGGTCGAACCACCACCAGGAGCCGACGATGGCGGCGGTGACGGGGACCGTGATTGCAAAGTAGATCCACAGCTGTGACGCGACAATGGGATGCGCATCTGCAATAGACCAACCATGTTAGCTGACGTTTTCAACGCTGGGACGGGGGATAACGAGCGTACCAGTTTGAAAATTGAAGAACGTCATGCTGAAGACGGACGCAAGATATGTTCCTGGGAGAAACAGGGCGCCCATGAGAGATATAGTTTTCATGGCTGTGCTGTCCCGCTTGCTCGCGTGAGCGATTCGACGCTGCTCTCCGGCAATTTCGAGATTGAGCCTGGCTTCCCTCTGCGACATGATGTTGTACAGCTGTAGAATTGTCAACAGAGTGATCCAGCGTAGGTGGTGATTTTCGCGGAGGCAGACTTACCGCCTCACGCTGAACCTTGAGCCTTTCAAGCGTCGTGTGGATGTAGTTTTCGAGCCCCTTGATCTTGACCTTGTAGAACTCGAGTCTTGCCTGCATGCTCCTGTGGAGCTTGTCGATCTCTTTCCTGTGTATCCTCTCCGGCTCGGACATGAGGTCGTTCTTGGGCTTCATCGAGTTCCACTTGCTGCGAAACTTGTCCATGGCCCTTTCCATCTCCTTGACCAATGCCCAGTATGCCTGCGGCCGCTTCCACATGACGTGGCTATGGCACTCGACGAGGTCTCTGTTCAGTCCGTCCACCTCGAGCAGGCCGTCTTGGAAATACTGCTCGTGCTGCTCTACCTCATCGCGCAAGCTAACCGCGTTCTCGAGGCGCCGTAGCCAATCGCGGGCATCTCGCTGCTTCTGGTCGTTTGCGGGAGAGAGGTCGTAAGAAAGAATTATGACGGGTAATAGCATCGGGTGCCCAATCTGCGCCGCGCAAGCTCGTGCATGATCTAGGGTCTTGACAATGTCCGAGCTCGGCGTACCCTTGATGAAGCCGGTGGTGATGTTGGTCTTGAACGAGTGGGACAGCATCATCTCCCACCCACGCGTCTTGCCCTTCTTACGAACATCTGACTTGCGGTGGATGATTTCTACACCGATCAGTCAGCTTATCTAAATGCTGGGCAGAAAAAGAGAAGGGGGGGCTTACGCAGGTGAGGATCGTCATCGTCCTGATCATGCGCGCACCAGAAGAACGGGCCGACAACCGACGTCGTCTCAATGGCACGAAACGGCAGCTTGAGCTCGCGGACCATTCGCTCATATGACCCCTTGGGTAGGGATATAACCTTGGGCATGAAGGTGTCCTTGTCCTTGGCGTTCTTTTGGACGCTTGGCAAGTGTCAGCAAGCGGGAGCAGCCGACAGATGTGACGAGACAGAACTTACACGAGCCGCATCCCGCTGAGAAGCTTTGTCCCCTCGCGCATCTTGTCGGGAGGCGCAAAAGCGCCCTTGTCAGGGTCAGCGAAGGTGGCAGGAAGTGTGGCGGGCGGGCGGCTCACTCTTTGGTACAGGAAGTTGTCAAACTCATCCTGTGTCAGCGGGTGCTCCTCGCACGAGTTGTAGAACGGATCCTAGAGGCCAATGTTAGCAGTCGAAACATGCAAAGAGGGAGAACTCCAGGTCAACCGACCGAGTAGTTGAATATCTCAATGTAGGTCGTCGCCTCTTCCACGACGCGGCACTCGTCAATGTAGTAGCGGAACATATAGTCGTCCATGGTGGTTGTTGCCGGCTGTGCCCTCACCCCCGCTCTATGCCAGCTGCGTCGCGCTCGGAGTCTTGCTGGGCGACAGCTCAAGAGCACGGCACAGGGCTGAAACGCTGGACGACTGAGTTCCCTGGTGTCTTTGGGGATGCAAGGTGACGAAAAATATTTGGATGCGACGAGCTGGACGCCTTTCCTCTTGGGACATGCGGCACTTGTGTGCGTACGAAATACAAGGTCCAGTCTTCCTCTGCCTCTGCCTCTCTTGGTCTGCACGAGCAGACAGGCACGCCGGGCTAGGTTCAGTCGCACCTGCCCTGTCCTGTTGCTGCGCAGATCCCAGCCTCGTGACTTTACTATGCCGCTGAGGAGCCGCTGGCGAGCCACTCAAAAGTGCCAATTTCTCACTGTCGCACAGCTCCGGGCCCCCTGGTCCAGGTTCCGGTCCAGGGTTCGACTCGTTTTCTTCCAGGCCCGTCGACACATCACCCAGTTGCGGTGCCAGTCGACCAGCTCCCGCCCCGCCGCCCGCTGAGCGGTCCGCCCCAGTGCCCCAGCCCAGCCTCCGACATGTGCTCCAACTGGGGCCCCCTGCGATTTCCCGTCGCACCCGACCAACCATCCGCCGCTGGCAACAGGGTCCCACCAAGCCTCAAAGCTTAGCCATGGCGTGGCCCACGGGCTGCCTCCGACAGCACCTCAACCGCATCGGTGGCAGCGGCCGGGTGGACATACAAAGCGCTTCATATCGTTTTGCTGCGGCCAGAGACTTAAAAGACTGTGCGTTCCTAGGATCGGCCAAGCTCTGGGAGCCTCGACTGTCCGAAATCCCCGGTACCAAGTACTCGTATCAACGAATCCGTGCGCCCTGGCCCCATGTCCCCCGGCCCCGGAGCCCCGAGTCCCAACTGTCGCAGAGACAAGACAGTAATAAAGCATATCTCCTTCGCCTGATTTCTCCAGCCCGATCCATGTCTCACCTTTGCCCGTCTTCCGCTGCCCCCACCTGCAGTTTAAAATTCGGTAAAGAGGTTCCCGAACCTGACAGGAGACAAGCCGTTAGTTTGTGCCCAGCAGCAACAACACTTTCTCGGGGGACTCACTCGTCGGCTCCTCCAGGAACCCCATACTTCTCCGGGTCCTCAGGATATCTGTCGAACTGGCTGGCGTCTCCCTGCCCGGCCTTGACGGGGGGCGTGTAGGGAGCGTCAATGTCCTTTCTCGCCAGTCGATCCCACGTCACCTCGGCGAACCAGGGATGGCTCTTGACGTCTTGTGAACCTCCGTACAGATTTCCCAAACGCTTCGTCAAGTCTGCCGTGATGAGCCGCTCCAAGAGATTCTGGGCGTCACCATTAATATACGCCGGGTACTTGACCTTGCCCTTGAGGATGTTCTCGTATATTCTCATCGGTGAGCCGTTGTCCCAAAATGGTGTGTAGCCGCACAGCATCTCGTATATCAAAATACCCAGAGACCACCTATTCGCATTGCACGTCAGCAAACCACATTCTTCGACCCTCAGCTTCGGAGCACCCACCAGTCCACAGACTTGTTGTATCCCTTGTTAGAGACGACCTCGGGGGCAAGATAATCGGGGGTGCCGCAAAGTGTCCATGTCTTGTCAGGCACGCGCTTGGCAAAGCCAAAGTCTGTGATCTTCAGGTGCCCGTGTCGATCTAGCAGGAGATTCTCAGGTTTGAGGTCTCGATAGATGATGTTCTTGGAGTGCAGGTATTCCAACGCCAGCGTGGCTTCCGCCGCATAGAACTTGGCGACTGGGTTCGGGAATCGCTGCGAGCCCTCTGTTAGCCCAGATCGAGCCTAGAGGCTCGGGGTTAGCCGCAATGGGAGGGACAGATGCTCACCCCCGACTTCCTCAGCAGCGAAAAGAGCTCGCCGCCCTCGACAAAGTCCATGACCATGTAGAGGTTCTTCCAGTCTTGAAAGGTGCCCCACAGAGTGATGAGGAACGGGTGCTTAACATCGCTCAGCATGCGGCGCTCATCGTTGGTGTGCTCCACCTGCTTCATCTTGACGACCTGAGCCTTCTTGAGCACCTTGACGGCGTAGAAGCGTTGGTTGTGCTTCGACTGGACCAGATGGACTCGCCCGAAGCTACCGGTTCCAAGCGTCCTGAGTATCTCGAAGTCGCCCAACGAATACTTGCCCTTGGTGATTCGGGGTGTCGATTGGCTAAGCTGATGCTGGTGATGCGGCTGATACGCCTGCTGCTGGCGCATCTGCTGCTGCTGTAGCTGCGCCTGCTGGAGCTGCTGATCGGCCCCCAGCGGCTGCTGGCCGGGCTGGCCGGGCTGTTGCATCGTGGGCTGCGGGTACGCTTGTTGCTGCTGCTGTTGCATTCGCGAGGGGTCCGTGCCGGGGCTCGCGCTGGGAGCGTGTTGGATATGATGGCCCAGCTGAGCAGTGAAGGGCGGGGACGCGAAGTTGTTGCTGGCGGCGGCGGCGGCGGAAGGGGAGGAGCCGTCATTCTGAGGTTGGTTAATGAGGTTGCTAATCGTAGGAAGGTTCTGGCCGTCGTGGTGCTGCTGCGTCGCGGCGGCGTAGACCCCGCCGGCGTGTTGGGGGTTCATCTGCTCCTGCTGCGGCGCAGACGAGGACGCGTTGGAGCCGAAGCCAGGCTGGGCGGCGGCTGCAGTCGCTGTGCCTCCCGAGGGTCGTTGCTGCTGCTGCTGTTGCTGTTGCTGCTGTGACGACGCGGAGCCAAAGAGCTTGGTGGTGGCCGTCGCAGCGACGGGGCTGGTGGGGTTGGAGGTGGAGGGGTCGGGGTTGCTGTCCTTGCTGTCCCTCGTTCGCTTTTTCTTGAGGAAGCCGCCGAGTGAAGGCATACCGGAGGAAGGGGTGTGCCAGGAGGCGACGCGGAGTGACAATGGGCAATACGGGCCCGGCTCTCGTAATGGTCGTCGAAAGGGGGGCCCTTGCTTGTGTGCCGCGGGCGAGTCGGACGATTCAATTGATGGCACGGAGGGGGGAGGCGACGGGGGGTTTGGATGTCACGGCAGCGGCTGCTCGAGGAGGAGGAGTGACAAGGGCACGTTCGGCAGGCGGCGGTCCCAATCGCGGTTCGGTGGTCGGTCGCAATCGCAGTTGCAGTTGCAGCAGTCGAGTCGACGTCGAGAAGGCCGGTGGGCTGCTGCTGGTGGCGGGTCGTGTGGTGCTGGCGCAAGGTGCTGGTGCTGCCGCTGGGCTGCGGCGGCGCCGTTGCGGTCGGGGTTGGCACGAGGCCGGTGGGCTGTCCTGGTCTGGTCGCTGGAGCGTTGCGGCGGGCAGCTGGAGCTCCCAGTTGAGTGCACTCGCTAGGAACAGTGGGGGCGGCGCGGTGGGTTCAGCCTCCAGTCGAGGAGCTCTTCCGGTACGGTGCGTTGCGGTGCGGTGCGGTGCGAGCGGCAGGCAGCGGGGAAACCTGGAGCCAGCCACTGAAGCCAAGGCAGTGGACTCGACGGCCTAGCGCGGCGCACAGTAGCGAGTGCCGCTGCAATGGGGGGGTTGGATGGGTTGGTCGCTGGCGGGCGAGTCGGATGCGGTCGTTGCGCCCGTGGCGGTCCCGTTAGATCCCTCCCTCACGTTGTCGTCCTTGAACCACGACGACGACGACGACGACGACGACGACGACGACGACGACGACGACGACGTTGACAAAACAGTCGCGCTTTGGAACGGGCCGCTCTGCGACTCTCCCTCTTCCTTTCCCCGTGACCGCGTTCGCAAGCCACAGCGAGAGCACCCAAGAAATCAGCGGGTCTCCCCTGCAAGGCTTTCGCGCGGGCACGACGCGGCGGCGGCGTTCAGTGGCCCTCCCTCGTGATGCGGGCCTCGCGACACGGCCCGTGGTAGCCGCAAAAAATGGGCTGCGTCGCTGCACAATGATTATATTAATATCGCCCAGGGCCAATGAGGCCGGACACCGCAAGAATGTGACAATCGGGTCTCGCGAATCGCTCTCGCTGCTGCACGCAAGCTGAGACGGATCCAGCTGCCCGCTGTCCTGCCGAGCGTCGTCGATAGTCGATGGGGACTGACCCCGTAGGTACTCGTATGGATCGGGCAGGTCGCCGACCCAGCCAAGACAGCAGCCTTTGCGCGGCTACCGGCTTACTTCGTAGGTACTTGGCTTGCTGTTACACGTACGTGTATCCGTCGTCTTCAACCGGCCGTCCGGCTTCGTGCCGGGTGCGATTGGCCGATGCGAGATCGAGTTGGCGGGTGACAGGTGGACAGGCGGACACCCGTAGCATCGATCGCTTTCTGCAGGCGCTCCAGGAGAGAGGACAGGCCCGGCGGTCCGGCAGGCCGCTCCCATTAAAACCTCCCAGCTACACCTTCTGCGTAGGAGGGACGGACGGGCTGGTTGATGATGACACCCGCAGCGCACAATGGAGGATGCCACCGTCCGAAACCTTAAACCGCCCGCGAGCTAGAGCTTGACCAAGTCATTCCGCAGCTCCAAGCAGCATCGAAGGAACCGCCGGCAACTCCCAGAATGCGACCACGATGCTTTTCGCTGCTCAATCGACCGTTCCCACATCCCAGCCTGTCCGCCTGGACCTCGTCGACGACCCCCGCTCAGGAGGGGATCTGACTCGCCAAAACCGGGATTTCTTCCAATTGATCGCCGCTCAAACCGCCCGAATGGTGATCACTGATCATGGAGCTGTGAGGGGTTCAAAAGGTGGGGAGGGGGAGGGGAGGTTCCCAAGGGCGGCCAGTGCGGGGATCGAGGTTAATGTGGCCTCTTGCTTCCTCGTCCTGCCAGAAGCCAAGCTACGTCCGCGGGCAACGATTGCGGAAGCGGCTTTCCCGTGCCGCCTCGACGGACTTATGAGCGACCGCCGACCAGCACGACGGCGACACAATTGGGAGAGCCAGTCTCTGTGGGCACGGCGTCAATTGACAGATCCAGCCGTAATCTTGTCGCGGGTACCCATTATCCTGCTTACCCTACACCTTGCCGATGCGTCATTGCCTTGGGGAGAATCATTTTCCTCAAGCTCGCGGGATTGAATACGCCCATTCGTATGAATGCCCTGCAGCTTGCTTCCCTCGGACTGCTGTGCTCTCTCGTCTGATCAGTAAGGTTCCTCGTCCCCGCGTCTTGCCCATGGGGCCAAGCAGCTAGGTCTCCGCCTGTCCTGTGTCTGCGCTGACCCCGGAACGGGTGAGACCACCGGCCGTGAACGTCACACCTGGGCGGTCGCTGCTTGCACCGCGACCCCTTACCACGGAACGTATGATGGCAAATGCTCAAGGTGGCTTTACATCCATCGCTCTCGCTCTAGCAGCCGCCCCCCAAATCACTGGACCCTTATATCTTCCTATAGCTACATCCATCCCTCCTCACTTGCCATCAGCCCGATACTCAGACAACATACCACGGGAGAAAAGAAAAAGGAAAATCTGCCAGTCATGCAAGTTTGTTTGTTTTTCGGTGTCACCCGACCCGGCTCATCACCCCCCTTTCGGCGCGTCAAATCAGGCATCAACGCTCCATGATGTCGTCCCAGTCGTGCTTTGCCCTTTCCCGCCTCCTTAAAACCGATGGCTCTTGGCCTTTGCCCGGTAGGCCGTGAAGCCGACATACGCGCCGCCCGCGACCAGGACAAACAGGAAGATCTTGGTGAAAAACCAAGTCCAGCTACCGCCCTCCTTGGACGAGTAGCCCTTGATGCCCTTGTTCTTGCCCTTGCTTGGCGTGATGGGGGCGCCAGGTGCGCTGTACAGGTTCTTGGCCGATACGGAGATGATGTCGTGGTTGTCGCTCAGCTCGCCAGTCTCGGCGCTGAAGCCCAGGTAGGCAATGTTGGGGATGGCGGGCGGGTGATCCGTCTCGAAGCACAGCTCCCACTCGTCCTCGGTCTTGTACTGCAGCTCGAGGCGCAGCTGCTTGTCCTGGATGTACGTCAGGCGCATCTTGGTCGGCACCGAGGCGTGGCGGATGCCGCGCGCCGAGCAGCCTGCCAGCTCCTGGTCCTTGCCGTCCGTGTTCTTGTCGTACGACTTCTGCCCGTCGCCGAACATGGCCATGACGTAGGGGAAGACGACGCCGGGGCGGTTGTTCTTGTACGTGTCGATGAAGATGCCCAGGCCCTCGAAGCGGTCGGTGGAGCCGAAGACGGGACCCTGCTGCGCTCGCTGCTTGGTGATCCACATGGCGAAGCCATCGCCGTAAAGCTGGTTCTTGCCCGAGATCTTGAACTCGACCTCCACCTCCCAGTTCGTCGCTGTCAGGGGGACGCGGGAGAACAGCCAGCCGGTCTGCGATGGGCGGTCGGACGTGAGGCGGACGTATCTAGTAGCGAAATCGCGTTAGAACGCGACTGACTTGTCGTCAGACGAGGTGTTGCGCGACGTACGAGTCTGTCCGCACAATGGTGTCTCCTCCAAAGTCAAACCACCGGCTTTGCATGTCTGAGTCGAGGTATGGCTGCAGTTACACGTCCAGTCAGTCACCCGTCTCGTCCTCTGTACATCCGTTCGAGACCAACCTGTTCCAAGCTGTGCGTCCGCAACTGCAGCAACTGTCAGCTCTTCGAGTTCATGGTAATTTTGCTGAAATTAGATTTTGCACCAACCGTTATGCTCTTCAGATCGCTGCGGTGGTCATCCGCGCCGCGCACCGTCCATGCGAGCGCGGCCACGAGCGCGGCCGACATTGACGGCAGCCGCATGCTGGGCAGTTGTGCGTCTGTCTGCGAAATTGAAACGAGAGAGAGGAGAGAAGACAAAGAAGAGCGCGGCGAGGGCTCGGCGAATTGGTCCTGCCTCGATGCCGCAGCTCGGCTCACGCGACAGTGCAAACGGGGTGGGAAGACTGGAAGGGAAGCGGTTGTGGTCGGGTCGGGGCGAAGAACCGCGGTGTGGCCAAAGACAGGGTATCGCCAGCTAGCACAGCTGTCCTCTTGCCCAGGTAGGCTGCAGCGCCAGAGCTGCCAAAGGGGTGGACCCGGACCTGCTGGGCGTCTGTGGAGCCGTGGAGCGAAGACTTGAGTGGCGCCGTGGCGGCTGCGCACCGCCACACCGTCCGCAGGTTGCACGAACGGTAGCTCTTTCGCCGCGATTCGCTCACCGACGTAACCCAAGTTTTCGCGCGCAAGCCACACAGCCTTGTCGCTAGGTTAGTAGAACAACCGACTCGAGGCCTTCAGAACCTTTTGCACCCCCCAAGCCCGTTCATCATCCTGCAAGACGTCACAGCTCACGAGCCGCCTCTCCTACACGTCGCGCCGCAACAATGGACTCCAGCTCGGTCAAGAAGTCGGTGATGAACCAGGTCCTCGCCGAGGCGAACCTCGCCAACGCCCGCGTCCTCATCGAGGTATGTCGAGATGCCGGCCGTGCACTAGCCCGACGCCAATGGGCCTGTCAATGCCAGGATCGATGCTGACGACCGTGCGTCCTCTAGAAACTCCAGGAGAACTGCTTCGACAAGTGCGTTCCCAAGCCCGGCAGCACTCTCTCGAGCGGCGAGCAGACATGCATGACGACTTGCATGGAGAAGTACATGGCTGCATGGAACCAGGTCAACGCGGCCTACATCAACCGGATACGCCAGGAGCAGGGCAACCAGTAGCTGAACGACCCACGTTGCGGCAAGTCGAAGGACGAGCATCACACTCTAGACGGAAGTTGCATGTATACTACTGTGTACGGCCCCCCTTCATGGGGCTGTGTATCATCAATGCTGCGAGGCATGGTCGGAAGCTAGACACCATGGCAGGAGACACCATGGCGGGACAGGACGAATGTATGGACGGACACACATAAGCGCGGACTAGGACACCACGCAATCTCAAACGAGTTAAGGCACTTTGGGCATATGACAAAAACGGTCGCCATCGCGGCTTGATTGCTGGGTATCTAATTCTGCGCATCTGCGCCCTTCTTCTTGGCCTCCTCGGCGGCCTTCTTGCGGGCCAAGTATCTCTCCTTCGCACTTGAAATTTCGCCCTCCGTCTTGCGGCTCTTGTTCGCCCGCTCCATTTCCGCCCTCTGTGCGTCCTCGCTCTCCCGCGAGCGCTTCATGGTCTGCTCCAGCTGCTCCTCCAGCATGCGCGACTGTCGCTCCCGCATTGCCTGCTTCCTATTGGCGGCATGCCCGCCGTCGAGCTGCCGCCGGTCGCCATCTCGGGCCCCGCGCTCGGCCTTTTCTTTTTGCACGGCTTCCTTCTTCTTCGCGCCGACGTTTAGGCCGCCTTGGAGCAGCTGCCGCTTGTCGACGACTTGGCCATCCTCGTTGACCGCAATACCGGCGCCTTTTTCGTTGAGTTCCCGTGCCAGCCTCGCCTGCGTCCTCTCGTCATCGTCCTCTTCTTGATCATCGTTGGCAGTGTCGGATGCCTTGGAGCCCAGCTTAGCCCGCTCTTCCGCGGCCTTGACCACCTGTGCGTGTCGTTCCTCACCGCGGTCCAGCATTTTCCTGTAAAACGCAGACATGCCTCCTCCCTCGTTCTTCTTCGCCTCGGCTTCTTCGCGGCGCTTCTCCTCCTCCTCCAGCCGCTTATTCTCCTCCTGCTGCCTCTTGTATGCCTCGGTGACGAACTTTTCCTTGTCGGCAAACTCGTCGCCTTCGGCCTCACGCTCGCGCGCAATCTTCTTCTCTTCGGCGATGAGCGCGTCGCGCTTGCGCACTTCGGCAGCTTGTAACAGGCTCTTCATGTACTTCGGCTTCCGCTCGACGTCTTCCTTGGTCGCCTGTTTCTGTGGCTTGAGCGAGTCGTAGACGGAGTCGTACTCGTACACGCTGGGATCCAGTTCCGCGGCGGCCTCGGCGTTCTTGCGGGATGCCAGAGAGCTTGACAAGTCGCCCAGGGCGGTTTTGGGCTGCGATTTTGCCTTGAGTGCTGGTGGTTGCGTGGGCAGTGCGGCTCTTGACTTTTGACCTTTCCTCGAGGCCTGCGCCGAGCTGGCCCCAAGATCAAAGTCTCCACCGAGCTCTTGCACGGCGGCGGCACCGTTTGCGTTGTCATCGTCGGAATCGTCATCGCCGCCGAACATGGGCTTTCGCGTGGGCGCGGGTTTCTGGGCGCCGGGCTTCTTGTTGCGGACGTTGAGCCCGAACGACAGGCCCGGCTTGCTCATGGCGCAAGTCGTAAATTGTGCAGCAGACAGAACAGCGATGGAGGTATTGCCAATTGCCGGCACGTCGTCCTCAGGGATGCCTTAGAGGCGTGGGCTTGTTTATGATGTGCTGTGCAAGAGTTCTGTGTAGTTGGAAAGTGGATGTTCATGGACGAGGCTTGACACGCGCGCGGTCCACGGCCGAAAAGAACGGGGCCGCAGGATGACGTACAAGTGCAAGTACCGCCCGTTGGAGGGCTCAGCGAGTGCCTTACAGCCAACGACGCTGGATCTCCTCACCTCAGTGGGTAGACGGGCGAATTGAGATGCAAGGACAAGTGTCCAGACAGCTACGAATAAATCCAGCAGACTCCCGAAATCGGCAGCTCAGATCCGGTCTCACTCCAAGTGGCGCGTGGCCCCGACGAGGGAGCTTCCGGGCTTGCCTGCCTGCCGTGTGGTTGTGTGCTTCGCAGTCCATGACGTGATTGGCTACGTCGCTGCTTCGCATCGCCGAGGCGCCGCAAGTCGCGGCCTCCAGTCACAAGGGCAGAAGGCGCATCATCGTCATCTTGCTACTTGGTACATTTCAACTTTCTACATCTAGCTGAGCATGGAGTCTTGCTGCACCTGCGCCGTTATCCAGCCCCCGACTTCCTCCCAAGCAGCCGAGAAGGCTTTGCCGCAGGACCGCAGAGTCGAATGTTGCGGGAGGATCATCTGTGGCAAATGCATCCAAGTACGCTCCTCGCGCCGCCCAGCGGCTGTGATAGCCTCGCTCCTCGCTGACGGAAAGCCTGCCAGGACAACCCTCGCTTCGCGAAGTACTGTCCGTATTGCCAAGTGTCGACCGTGCCCTCGCCACTGCCACAAAGGCTGCGAGACCCTCCGTCATACACGTCCGTCCCATCCACAAGAGCCACAACTACGGAGGCTTCTTCCGCGCCACCGCCGTACACTCCGACTGCCACCCCGAACCCTTCCGAGCCACATGAGAAGCCAGCGCACGCTGGCGACCCCGAGAAGAGCGAGGCTGCCGCACAAGATACGCTCCATTTCCTGGACCACGAGCACGACAGCATCACATCCCTGTCCCTCAAATATGGTGTCCCGGCCACTGCACTGCGTCGCACCAACAACCTGACAAGCGACCACCTGCTTGTGGGCCGCAAGACAATATTGATACCAGCCGAGTACTATCGGGCAGGTGTGAGCCTGTCTCCCCGACCGGTGGACGGCGAAGAGGAGGAGCTTCGTAAGAGCAAGATTCGTCGGTTCATGACCTCGTGCAAGGTCTCTGACTATGACGTTGCTCTCTTATATCTTGAACAGTCCGCCTACGACCTCGGAGCTTCCATCGAAGCCTTCCTCGACGACGAAGCGTGGGAAAGAAGTCATCCCATGCAGCGGTCAGGCAAGGCCGGTCCGGTCCGGAAAGGCCCCAAGAACCGTGGCCCCTTCTGGCGAGGGCTGTGAGCGGCGTGTTGCACCTTTGCATCTCGTTAATGGCGTGTCAGCACAAAGGGACTTCGGTAGTCGCCATACATGCTTCCTTTCCAGAGGAATCGTAACATCCAGACTTTGGATGGTATTCCCTGCGCATTGAGGGATTGTTGCGTCGTACATATTCGAAGGTCGTGGCCGATTCGGCACATAACGACAATACATAATTCGTACACATCGCCTCGCACAGATGACGATGACAGACTCTGGGATAGGGTCTCTAGAACGCCGCCCGCGTTCGGATATCCTGATTGGCTTTGTCAGCACTCTTCTAGGGGTGTGGCAGATTGAAGCGCATTACGGATATCTTCCGCTCAATCTCCCGCACGGAGCGGTCGAGCTCTCCAGCAATCATCATCTTCTTGTCGTTGGGCAGCAGGTTGTATCTCTCGCAGAGATCGCCGTCGATGACGCCCTTTACAGGCGCATAGTAGCCCCGATACATCAGGTGGTCTCGGCCCAGCAACGGCGGGTCTTCGGTGCGCAGATGCTGCTCGAGGCTCTGGAAGAAATCGGCATCCTCTCGGCTGATGAGGGGGATGAAAACACCGAGCGTGCCCATGAGCCCACTCCAAAGCAGCACTTCCTGCCCGCCAACAACCAGACTAGTCTTGGCAACGCTCGTCGGGATATCCTGAGTGTAAAAGTGGCACATGAGATCGAGACGATTGGCGGTGCCATGGAGGTAGCTTCTGGCATTCAGCAGGTGGACTCCCGTGTCCTCTTCGTCCGCTTCCGCGCTGGCCTTGGCTGGGCATCTCACGATCCAGATATTGCCAAACTTGTCGCCCCCGGCCACCGATTCGTAGTCCACCATCGTCGTGCAAGTTGTCCATCGCGCAACGGTGTCGTCCACAAACGGTATCAACTTGTTGGATGCCGGCTTGTACGCCACGTACGTCATGCCATGCTGGACGTCACCAACGACGATTCGGTTGCCCTGGGTGTTGAGCGACACGATCTGTCGAGGCGATGCTTCGGCCTGGGCTTTCCGCAACAGCTGCCTCATGCCCAGATCGTATATCCGCAACGTCTTGCCAATGCCGGCCAAGAGTTTCCCTTGAAATGGAAGCAGAGCCATAGGGAGGTCCTCGACTGTCGTTCGGTGGACAAATTCGACTTCACGTCCATCATTGCCCAGGCGGTAGATGCTGATGTAGGCCTCCGTGAAGCTTTTGGGATTCACGACGACATTCTTGCCCGTTCCCACGACAAGGAAGTGCTCACCATCCTGACTAGCAAACGGAACGATGGCGGCACTGATGAAAGACTCGTTGTCTTGGAGCTCCAGTGTCTGCAGCACTTGTGGCTCGTCGCCGGAAACGGGGTCGATGACGCTGATGCAGGACGCCCAGCGACGATTTCCCTTGGGGTACCCGAACTCCGCTGGGGGCAGGACGGCCGCATCGCCGTTAACGGCGGCTGGGTCCGCAAGTAATTTCTCACGGAGATCTGGCGAGAGCGTGTTGTTGTCGGCCTCGATGGTATAGAAGATGGGCACCTCCGGGTGCTTGATGAGCTTTCTGGGCGTATATGTCAGGGACACAGCCTTTTGGCTGATTGTGTCGCCCAGACGTTCGATCGAGAGGATGCTATTATCCGCGTTAGCGCCTGGAACAGCGTTTCGCGTGCAAGGAATAGAAGTGAAGGGGAAAGGTTTGCTCTTCAGTAGGAACAATTGGAATAAATGCGTAAAATGGCCTCATTGCCCGAGGGCGTAGGATCCCATGGTATCATCAGGTAGAGCACGAATATCAAAAAGAAAAGACTAAGAGAGCAATGCACTCACCTCAACGCTTGGCCGTGAATCGTCACGAGACCTTCTTCGCACTGCTCGCTCTGGAAGTTCCAGCCCCACTGCAGCTCGGGAAAGTTCAACGGGGTCATGACAAAGCTCTTGGTGATGGGATCAGGATAGCCGAGCCATGGTCGTGAACTCAAGGCCAGAACACAGGTCTTGCCCTCGACAGTGAGTTGGAACAGCTTGACTTGCTTCGGGCCGAGGAACTTTTGACGAGTGTCAGTCAGCTCGCCTGAGACTTCGTCGATGACTGTACGCAGGTAAACCCCTGAGTACAGGCCAATATGGAGATAAAGTGTTGAGCCTCCCGACGAGGAATCATCCATGGTAATGATGGCAAGAGATGTGGGGGCTGCGGTCAGGGCTTGCACAGACTTGCTCTCCAATGTAGAGCCGGCATCCAGACTGAGGATGCGGACCGTGCAATCGTCGCAACCGACTGCCAGGAAGGAGCTGCGGATTCGGCCTTCCGGCACGTCGCCCAAGCTAAGCGCAGTGACGGTTCCAGACATGGCCTTGCGTTCTTCGAACTCATTGAGGTTGCCCTCATCGTCCGCTTCGAAATAGATGATTTCTCCAGAGCTGAGAGCAACGGCGACTTGCTTGGAGTTGGTCGCTGCAGCGACGATTGAACGGTGCTGCGGCACTTCCCAGTCGGAGGCCTGGCCGTTGCGTACGACCCGAATGCCCTTGGGATGGACCTGAAGCAAGCTATTGTCGCCGAGGAGCTGCGCTGCGAGGGTGGGGACGGTTGTAAGGAAGCCCGAGTCGCTGACTTCCTCCACCGTTTCTCCAATGCTGAGAATCAGGGAGCCATTGCCAAATGAAAGGACAATGTACGCATCGTACTGGTCGTCTCGGTGCAACTTGAGGGTCCAGACCGCGACTGGCGCTCCAGGCAACTCAGAGCCGACAATCTCCGTAACGTCCAGTCCGTGCCGAAGCATGCGGAAAGAACTTCGTGCTCCGTTGCCGCAGATTGTATAGATTTGTGGCGCATCCTCGCCTGTCAAGTTTGCGACCTTGCAGTCCAAGAGAGGGTTCATGGAGGGGATTTTTTGGAACACGGTTATGTTCTCTGCAAGTCGGGGATGGAAGTAGACTGGGTCATAGGGTGCCTGCGGATCCACGGGGAAGTTGTCGCTGGTAAACTCGAGCTCGTCGTCGTCGTCTCCGAGCTTCTCGAACTGGTAGAAGCAAGGGTCGCCAAACTGACTCGCAACGTAGAGGAAGCCGCTTTTCAGGATGCAGAAGCTGGACGCAACCGGAACGGTATCAAAGTACTTGATGGTGAGCTTCCTCACCTCTCCCGTTGCCTTGCCGTCGTCATTCTTGATCATATCCATCGTGACGCGGAAAAGGTCGCCGTCTTCGGTCTGCAGGAGAAAGAAGTACGCGCCGCTGCTGCCCTTGAGCTTGTGCATGATGCCAGAGACGATGGAACGCTTCCTGTTGGGGTCCTCGGTTGCTCCTCTGCGACGGGGGATCGCAATGCGCAGCGGCTCTTGATTGCTGTGCATGTACGTGATGCTTTCCTCGCCGCAGACCAGAACACCGCTTGGGCCATCCTGGCCTCCGGGAACCTGGAAAAGCATCGACGCCGTAGGATCGACAGGCTCCGACCACTTGCGCACAACGTAGTTGAGACCCAGGTCCAGCTCATAGTACACAAGCTGTGTCTGGACTTCATCGAGGGCCTCCTCACTAGCATCGGGGTCGAGAGCGGAGCAGTTGATCTCGAGGGCGGCGAAAACAGGGTTTGAATAGCCAACGTCGAGCGCGACCATGGAGAGAACCAAGACTCGAGGCTTATGGGCTTCAAGCGGTGACGAGATGGTCAACTCGGCAGCCAGGTTGCCGTCGGGGTTGGTGGCGCCCGAAACGCGGTTGAGGATGTAGACAAGCTTGTTCTTCTCTATCGAAGCAACGAGAAACGCGCGGCCCTTGGGATCACAGACGAGGTATTCGCCTGGAACGACCCGTCTGACGCCGGACTTGCCGTACGTCTCCATGTGGACTCGCGAAAATCGATTCTCCTCGGGCAGATACTCGACGACGGTAATTCGTCCAGAGTCAGATGAGACGATGAGAAAATCTGCAGGCTTTCGGTCAGCATTGAGAGCCATGCGACGCGTTGTGCCAGAATCAGGAGACGGACCTTTGTTGCTGCCCGTGACGCGAAACGGCGCGAGGGAGCGGATGATGCCAAAGACATCATGGCTGAGAACGGTGTACACCTTGCCCAGGTTGGGGTCCGGCCGCAGAAGGTTCAAGCGCGAGCCAGAGGCGGTGACGATGAGCTGCTCGCGGGTACCTCCAAACTGACCCAGGACTGCTTGGACGACGTGGGTTGGCGGCTGGATCGTCAGCGAGTACAGGAACATGTTCGAGGTGGTCGCCATGATCCTTGTCTGGGCGCAGTTTAAGCCTGCGCGGCTTTGCGGGAGCGGGTTGGGGTTGCCGGTGAGGACTCGCTCTATCGCGGGGGTGCAGTGTTGTGGTGTTTTGATGAGGTTGCAAACCCGTAGTCCGCTGCACGGAGAAGTGGATTGAATGGAGGTGTGATGGAGCTCAAAAAGTTTGGTGCAGCTGTTCGGGGCGCTGGAGGAACCATTAATGCGGCCGGCCCGCCAGTCCCAATGTGGCCCGAGCTCCTCGAAATTGTCTGCCCACGGCTGGCAACGAACTGCCACCATCCTGTCCCTGCGCAGCCTTGTCTGTTCATCCGTGGAAACCATGGAGCCGACACTGCGAAAGGCGGCGCACGGCTTGTGCGGGCGCTGCTCTGCATCTCTGCGCAGGCAAGCCGCCGCCACCCGGCAGCCCCCGAGGCCGTGGATGCGAGCCCCTACGGCGCCTTTCGCTCGGCATCACCACTCATGCACGACTCGAGCCACGACAGCGCAAGCCGCCGACAAGGAGAGCGCCTCGAGCGCCGTCAGGTCCTTCAATTCGAGCGCTGGCTCGCGCACCGATGCTGCCGCTGCACATGAGCCGGCTCAGCCGGCGCGTTTGAGACTCAGCCAAGACGACTTATTTCATCCGTTCTCGTCATCGCCCGTCCCCGAGTTTCGACGTCGCGCGGCTTTCATGAAGCAGCACGCATATTGCCCGCACCCGGATCATAAGCCTACCAAGCTGCCGACAGTGGCCCCCGGCTCCGAGGCCCCCGAAGTAACGAGCGGCAACATGCCTCCAGCCCACGTGGACTTTGAGTGCCCCGACTGTGGCTTCCCTGTCTATTGCAGCAAGGAGCATTGGATGGACCACTATGAAGAGCACCTGAAGATCTGCGACACTCTGCGTCAGATCAACGAGGATGATCATGATCTTCGATCGGGGCGAGTATTCCACGAGGCGACTCTGCCCGACCTGCAGCTGGACGAGGCCGCAGTCAACATGACCAACTGGGATACGTTCATGTATACGAGAGAGTTCGAGGCCATCAACTCGGACCGTTCTATGAGACAAATTACACGGCTCCTCACGTATCCGATTACAATTGGCAGCGTCCTCCATGAGCTGAGCCCATACACTATCAAGAAGGGCGAGCGCCTGACAACGGAAGGCTTGAAGAGCTTCAGTGGTAAGTGAACGGTCGAGAGTTGAGCGCTGCAGCAACCAAAAGGCTGACACGACCGTAGCTTTGCGCTACAACTTGCATCCTCCAAAGGCCGGCCGCGGCCCTGGTGTTAACCAGCTGCGACCAGAGCCGCCACCGGTGCGAGTCTTCATTCTCGGCGCTCGAGCTGAGTCGTCGCTCCCACGGCCCGCGTGGGTGCAATTGGCTCACCTCTTCCCCGAGTCTAAGCTCCATCTCATTTTCATCGGACCTGAGAGCATGGCGAATCGAGATGACGAGTTCCCGCTACCGGAACGAACGGCCTCGAACCCCTTCGGGGCCATCGTCGAGGACCGTGTCTGGTACAAGATGAAGATAAGCACCATCGTCGACTACTATCACACTCTGCACAAGACGGGTCACTTTGCGCCGTATGATCCGTACTTTGACTGCTTCGTTCTCTTCCACCCCGGACTGGGCCATCCGGCGAGCAGCCACGAGTGGGAAGAGACGCTGCCGCTTCTGTTGGAGACGAAGGTTCCCATTATCAGCACCGGATACACGCAGTTCGACCTGGAGCGGGACGTCGAGTGGGTGAACAAGAAGTCCAAGGGAGAGTTTGATGTGCTTTTGGAGCCGGGAGAGAACATTTTCCGAAGCTTGCGGTGGGACCTGAACGACATGGACCCCCAGGACGTCAGCTGCGGCAATTGGGGAGTGTGGGCGTTCCGTGGCAAGAGGTACGTCGCTGCTGAATACCAACGTTAAGTGGTGCGAGAATTCTAACGATGTGTCGCAGATATGAGACGACAACAAAGGAAGAATAGACGTGTGCGGACTCAGGGAGATGGCCGTGGCGGCCAGAATACGGTTGCTGCGCTGTAAATGTACGAAGATGACAACGTGTATCAACAGTCAAGATAGACGGCGAAAGGAGGCCTGGGCATCGCTCGATTAAGAACATATTCAACTTCTCGCGTTCACCTCTGGATTGCACTTGTACTATGATGCACGAGGTGCAGACGGTCCCTGTCCCCGAGGACGCGCTGGGTATGGCGCCGCTGCAAGATTTGCACAAGTTGATGCCGACATAGAGCTGCTTAATGCAGTCGAGATGCAACGACGGACATGGGGTAGGTTGATGGGAATTGGTCCCCTACCGGCCAGGCGGGCAGGCGCCGCGGGGCGGGCCGCAGGGGCTGCAGCCACGCGGGAGCTCATTGCAGCGCAGGCCCTGAGGCGCGTCATTTGGTCGTCATTTTTGCCCTGTGGCCGTGCCCCCGTTGGCGCCACACCCCCCGGCAGCTCTCCAGCTCCAGCTGGAGGCCCCGTGCCACTTCCAGGAGCCCGCCCGGGTTGTGCAGAACCGCCACGGGCCCCCCGCCAGCAGCCCTGGAGACGAGCGCGCACGGTTCAGCGGGCAGCTCGCGCCACTGCAACGTCGGGGCGTTGCCAAACCCCCGCGGACATCCTGCGAGCTGCGGCCCAAACGGCGACCGTGCCAGCCTACTGCAACCTTGTGCCAACGACGTCCATCCCCGTCCGACAACGACAACGACGACTGACGACAACATCTCATCGTCTCGCCCGCCGCCGCTTTGTTCTTTGCCATGCATGGGCCGGCTGCTCCCGCCGCAACACCCTCCAAATGAGCGTCGCGTCCGCCGTATCGCCGGATAGCCCAGCGGCCGCCTCCTCGCCGCCGCCCCCGCCAGCTCGAGCTGGCACGCCTCGGCTCAAGCAGCAACCGGCCTCTGGCAATTCCCTCGCGCCGGGGGCCCCGTCAGGTGACCGCGGCGGCGACCGCGACCGTCGATCCAACCGACCGCCAACGATAGATCCGCTATCCGACCGCGCAACGCAGGCCCTCATTCGGCGCGTCCTCTGCTCCCAGCAGTCTGGAGACAAGGGTCGCGATGTGCAGACGCCCATTGACGAGCTCCTGCCGCCGCTGACGAGCCGCAACGACGTCGACCTGCAGCTGTATGCCTTTCTCGCCATCATCTTGCGGGAGTTTGTGCAGAGTTGGTACGGCAAGATCACGACCGACGAGGCCTTTCTCGCCGAGATAATCCATACCATAGCGCACTGCACCAGGGCCTTGGAGCAGAGGCTGCGGAAGCTTGACCTGGAGAGCCTCGTGTTCAACGAGATACCAGAGGTCATCGACAAGCACATATCGAGTGAGCAGGCCCATACCACGTGTCGGGAGGAGAGACTGACCTTGAACGAAGCATATCGTGTGTCACACCAGCCGTTAGTGCAGCCGCCCCTCGTCGTGGACCCTCGCGAAGCCTTTCATGCTCTCTGGCCGCTGCCCTTTCTCTCGCCGGTACCTCACCCCGAAGACGCTCCAGGCTCGACATCCGAACAGCTAGAAAACGAGGCGGTGTATCGACAGCTGCTCGTCCAAGCAGTGCTGGCCGTCCTGCTGCCCACCGAGGATCTCGAGAACCCGTGCCTCACCGCCCTGGTCGGACAGATATTGTCGGAGCTTATCATCGGTAACCTCATCGGCAACAAGACGACACAACCGTGGCTTCTTTTCGAATGCATATGTATCCTCGCCCGCGTTATAGAGGAGAAGAAAGACCGAACTGCACAGAGAATAGTGTCGGGATCGCACACACATAGTGCCGAGGGCCCACCGAAACAGCGATACAACTGGTCCGTCCAGGGCCTTTTCCTGTGGATCATACAGCTGGTGTTCATATTCATCACCTCCATTCGGCTGCTGGCAGGAGCGATTGCCATGTCTACGTCGTTGCCGCCGAGGAGGGTTATCGAAGACCCAGACAGGCCAGAACGGAACCAAGCCACCATCGAGGATCAGCATCACGAGGCACCTGCGGCAGCCAAGGTCCCCATCCTCGAGTTCAGCGCCTGGCGCTGCGTGGGAAACCTGGTGGAGATCCATACGAGGATGCCTTGGCTGGGTGGCATCCTATCGCTGATGCAGCTGGGGGCCACGCGAGGGCCTGGCCGCGTCGCGGGCTTGAACAGCACTCTTGACAGGTAAGAGCGCAAATCACCTCTCGTCTCTCCTCATTCTTGTGACGACGAAACTGCCACATGGCCTTCCTCTTTCCTTGCTTAGGAAGGCACCGTCCATCCTTGCTCATCACCTCGCATGGCGCCAGTGTCACTGGACCTCTCTCGAGCTCAAGCGAGCTTCTTCTGTTCGCGCTTCGGACCGGGGCGTGCCTCGCCCGTCACCCTTACCCAGCTTCCTACCCGCCCATCCAAGACGCCCCCTCGGAGTCTCCGTAGCAAGTCTTCCCGGCGGGGTGCTCCCTGGCGAGCTGGCTGTTGGATGGCCGGCTGTGACTCGCATCGCGAGCGCGGCCTCGGCGGAATGGTAAGGCGACGCAGGCAAGTTTCCCCCTCCCCAGATCGGCCGGCTCTGTCTGGTCGCAGTCCAAAGCCGCTTGACCAATTGCAGCTTGAAGTTGCGATTTTGGTCTGCAATTGATGGAGTTGGTGTGTCGGCCCCCGAGCCAGTCACGGCACCAAGACGGCCTTTACGCGCCCGCGTCGACCGGGGGGGTCGCTGCGCAAGCGTGTTATTTGGCTCCGCATGGCCATCGCAGACGCATCGCCAGGCGCACATGTCGCTTCAATTCCGCCGTCTCTTGCCGCGCCAGGCGACCCATCCGCTGCGGAGTCTTGCTCTCGATGAGGACGACGAGCTACCTTCACACGGCCCGGCAATCTTATTGACTGCGTCAAATGTCTGTCCTATCGTGCGGCGCAGCGCCCACGGGCTGTTTGCTCAATGACCCTCTTGGACGCCGAGTGGCTTTCAGACATGCATGGCAAGGCTTGCGGCCCAAGGGCCCGTCCTGGACCGGCCGTGGCGATGCCACCACACCTCCCCTTCACCTGGGCTGAGCGCCATCCCTCACCTGTCTGCTGCTAGCAAGCAAAGCCAACCGCAAGGGGCTGCACGAGGCAAGAAATCGTCACTCCCTCCCCGCACTCGAACCTGCGCCAACGCCCGGGAGCTCCCTTCCTCTGTTGCAGAACCCCTGGCCAAGCGGCTCGGGTAGCCTTGTTGCCGCCCGTGCTATCATCCGCCAGCCCGCCCGTGCCGTCCCTTCCCTTCCCGCGTCCCGATGCGAGACACGCACGCACAGGAACGAACTCCTTTGTTGTCTCCCCGCTACGACTGAAAGCTAACTAGTTTCCCTCTCTTCTCTCTTCCGCTCCGCAGGCTGCTATCCCGCCAGATCCAGAGCCTCTTCTCGCCCGTCCACCTGTCGCCCGCCCTCCGCTCCCTTCGCGGCGTCCTCTTCCCCAACAACGCCCCCGGCACCCCCTCCCTGTTCCCACCATCTTCCGACGCGGAACTGCGAGCCCTCCGCCGCAGGGCCGCTAGCTCCCTTCTGGGCCTCGTCCCGAGGGGCGTGGCCAGAGTGTACCTCTGCGGACGCCTGGCCTCCTCCTCGCCACCCACGCCCGCTGGGCCTTCTTCGTCTGGCCCTGGCCCTGGCGACAAGCAAGACAAGGACGCGGACGCCATGGTCGACGAGGTGGAGGGCCTGCTCATGGTCCTCGGCGACGACTACTGCAACAAGCACCTCCTGTACAGCGTCCTCGAGCTGATCCTCTTGAGGCTGATGCCCGAGCTCAGCGAGAAGGGCGTCGTGGAGCTGTGGGACGAGCGGTTGGGGTAGATTGGCGGCTCAGGATGCGACGAACGGAGCGTCCCCGTTTGGAGAGAGACACGCATGCTACTGTTTTTGACGACGACGAAAGCGCTGAGATACCCCTTCCTTGTACGTAGCCCACAATTTTCTCTCCGTAGGAGTTTCCAAAACCCGGTTTCGCGACTTGCCGGGCCCTGGTGAAACCGTGTCAGTCAGACCGGCGAACACCTCACTCAACTCAGACCTTGGAGCCGCCCGCACCGCGTGGCGCGTGAGCGTGAACGAGGTCCGCATGTCTCCAGGACGAGACTCTCCACCGGATCGTGCGAAAAGGGCATCGAAAAATCAAAGAGCCAGGTCCCGGGACGGAGAGGCGGCAAGGGAACCGACGAGGGCGGGCAGAACACCCCGTCTCCCACCCTGGTTGCCGATTCCAGTTACCGGGCACGCCACGCGTGCAAGCTGTTTAAACGCCTGCCTTATTCGTGCGGGCATCTATTACAATCACCATGGAATTTGCTGCCAAGACCGCCTCGCAGTCCCGCATCGCACAAACCAGTACCGCAAGCCTTGCGCGTGGTCGTGCTGCATCATGCCAAGCGAGGAGTCAAGTTCGCATGCAATGGGAGGTAAAACACTCGGGTATACGTGATAAAAGTTGAATGATAAAAATCGATACATGTGTTTCCACGCCGTGTGTTTCATAAAGTCCCTATGTGGTGGATGGTATTTCGTCGCCGATGAATCTGTTGCCAGAGTGTGTAGAGTCGCCTCCTTTCTTTCCTGTTGAATTTTCTTTCCGCCGCGCCCGTGTACTTGCGTGCCCGCCCCTCGTAAAATATCGCTTTGGTTCTTGTCGAGTGCAGAAGCAAGTTCCGAGGCGTCTGCTAGGGAAACCTTCTCCGACTCGAGACCAGTGTCCTGTCAAATATGCCGTGCGCAGATAATGAAGGCAAGCCAATGACGCCAACCTGCGGCAAACTGCCTAGTAGCAAATGCGCGCAAAATTACAAAAGCACATTAATAAGAGAAGGGAAAAGGGGACAATAAAATCCGCTGTCGTATACCAGCCATGGCCATGGCCGTGGTCATCGTACCTCCATCGCCGTGTCAGAAGTCGCCTGCATTTCGTGATCCCCTTCGGGAATTCTTGACAACCCGCCGATCGACGAACGAGAGCCCTGATTTTGACCGACTTGGAGTTTTTTGGTGAGATGTATCAACGCAAGGTATTCGCTTTGGTCAAACTGCCCCGTGGTGTTCATCCGCTGTAGGTAGCTTAGGAGCGTGTTTGCCGCCTGCCTTGCCTCTTCGTGCGTTGGAGAGACGGGAGACGATTCAATCGGTGTATTTGACAAAGCGCTAACTGCTATGGGCGTTCCAGATGACCGGCCCGTGATACTGGAGTTGCTGCTGGATCGACGCAGCGGTGGTGGCGGCGAGGTCAAGGCGGTGTTGATGGCGAACGGTTGCTTTCGCGCGTCTGTAGCTGGGGACTGAACAGCAGAAGACGATACAGACGTGACTGCGGGATGTCGAGGAGTCATTGGTTCCGTGACTGGTTCGGTGACGGGTGCCTGCTCATGATTTACAAAGTTGACGTCAATGGACGGGAAGGTGTTGCTTCGCTTCTCGCGATGATGGAAGTCGGGGACATCGCCTGCTTGCAGTGGCATGGCATGATCAACCGTGAAGGCACCGGCATTTGGATCAGGAGAGAAGTTGAATGACGCAGCAGGACTGATGGCACCGGCTGAAAACGTGGCGCCATGGTCTCGGACATCACTTGAGAGCGAAGTGTTTGACTGCGATCCGTGCGCTCGGTACGTGAACTCGAATTCGATGGTGTCCTTGTGTAAGTCTTCGTCGCTGCGACTTCCTGAGAGAGGGGAAAGGGGCTGGGTCGGCGACGCCGGCGCATGACCGCTCGGTCTCGCTCCCTTGTTAAGAGCCGTCAGCGTTGTCGACAGTCTCGCGCTGTCCGGAATGTTTGTCTCGGATGCTCGCCGCATCAAGCGTCCCGAGCCGATGCCGTGTTTCTGCTTGAATTTCTGGAGCCAGCTGCTTGTCAGGGTACCCAAGAGATTGTCCTGATTCCCGCTTGCATGGGCAAATAGCTTGGCTTGCTCCATGATTTCGTCGTCTTTGATGTCAAAGCCTCGCTGCTGCTGCCGACGAACGTAGTTGCCGAGGGTTCTGTCAAAGTCTGGATGCTTGCCTTTGGCGCGCTTCACGGCAAAATCCGGGTCTTGTTCTCGTTTGAGGTACTGATCCCGGTGGCGTAGCACCTTTGAGACCGTGCTGCGAGTCTGTTAGAGGCGGAGTCAAGGAGAAACATACGGAGTGCAGATCTTCACCTTCTCTCCACGCCGAATTTCGCACCGATATCCGCTTGTTTTGTTCCTGGATTCTCGTCGTGATACAGGCACATTGCCCTCTTCTGCTCTGCGCTCAGAGTTTTCCGCGGCAGCTTCTCATGATGCGGCGGCTTGGAAGTCTCTCCGGCCTTCGGTTTCGCGGTAGTCGCTGTTGGGGCCGTTGAGGCAGAAGGGGCAGGTGTTGAAGACGGGCCGCTGGACACAGGCGTGATGGACATCGCTGCTGCAGAGTAGCTGCCCGCAGATGACGTTGGCGTTGGGTTCGTCAGCTGGCTAGGCCATGCCGTGTTTAGCATGGGCAGGTGATGATGCACCATCGGTGACGGGGCAGGGTGTATCAGCTGGTGATGACTGTGGTGGTGGTGGTGATGCCCCGGAGCCGCCGGCTGATTAGGCTGCGGCGGCAAGCCTGGTGGTGGCATCCGCTGCAAAGGATCAGACGGTATACCGTGAGTGACGAATCCAAAGCCAGCATATTCGTTCATGGGGCTGTTGTCGTATGGACTCTGGCTATAGGGGCTCAAGCTGACCCAGTTGTCGCTACCATAACCATTGGTTTGGGCCATATTGGGGTCCTGGTCCATGGCAGCAGACCCGTCGAGATCTGTGTTCATCATGCTTCATACGGCCGACGCGCTGTTGATAGGTTATGTAAACGCAGAATACTGTCATATTGTCAGCACGAACTCGAGTACCGGCTCCGTGCAATAATAGACACTGCTCCACAGGCCGACAGGGCATGCGTTTGGTCTCGCATCTTCTCCGAAGGCGGTAGAGGGCGCGGCAAGCAGGGTGACGAGACGGTGCAAGGCAGGTAGGAGGACGAACCTCACGAATGCAGAATGCCGAGGAAACGCATCGTCTTATCGACTTCAGCCGGGCAAGTGCGGAGAAGGCTGGCTCGGGCTGCCTGGTTGTCCAATGCCAACCTCCAACGCCTGCCAGGCACTCGTTTGGAATGGCTTAGGATAAAGGTCCTTCCGCGGATCAAGAGTTCTGGCGGCGATAAAGTCTTCTTGCTGGAAAGAGGGTGATGCTTGGCGGTGGGCCTTTCGGCGCGACCGGACGTGACCTCGGGAAGCCAGCGCACGTCAAATGTGGTGGATGGTTCTGCGCTGCTTGTCCGTCAAAGAATAGCACGCGGTGTGAAACAGGGCCAGAGACCAAGGTGCCCCAGACGCTTCAGCCTGTGCAACTCTCTGCCTCCGCGGGACTGCAGATATGCAATCAGTGTTGAGACCGTCTCTGTGGTTGGAATGTCGAAGGGCGGCAGCTCCTCTCGACGACGACCCTCGTCTTCTTATCCTTGACAGGAAGCTACTCGTAGATGTAGATGGCCTTGGAGGGTGAGCGACGCATGGAGGCAGACTGATTCTATGTCAGACCTTGGATGGGGTGCATAGGCGCAGATGCCGTCGAAGAGTGCTATCAGTCTTTGTGCTGGATCCAGAGGACGCCACGGATTGGGCTACATAATGTATGCGAGGAAACAGAACTAGGCGGCGGATGTTGACCGTCGTACATATGTACTGCAAGTGTACCACAGGCACATGCGCAAGGACGGCCAGGGGTGCTTCTGGCAAGCCTGGGGTGAGGGGTGAGAGCACTGAGGGGGGCGTGTAAGAGACAAAGCCAGGGCGCGTGTGGGTGGACGAGGACAAAGACGCCTTAACGCGAAAGCGTCCTTGGTGTGGTGGGTAGGATCGAATCTAACGGGAAGGCTACTCATTATGGCACTGTGAATGGCGAAGGGTCATGGTGGATGGTAGGCGAGAGAAAGCTGGACTGAAGAAGGCAGCTTTCCCAGGGTATGACAAGACAGGACAAGAGCCGTGGGTGAGCCATTGGACAGGGCACAGACGCCCGCAAGAGGTGCCTCTGCCTCCATCCCTCCGTGAGCCGGAGCTGGGGTGCAGGACGGCGTCCCAAGCAATCGGCCAGAGCTCCACGGGGCCACGGGGCCACGAGGTTGTCCAAGGCGGGCAAATAAGAATCTGGCATCTCGCCCGCGAGGCCCGACGAGATGGATTGATTCTGGGGAGTCCCTCATCGACAGGTTCAGGAAGCCCGATTCGATACTCGTGCCTCTCGGGGACATGCCTTTCGGCATCCGACCACAGACCTGCGCAAAGTCCACATACCAGGGGGACAATAAGCTTGCCGGGCGGCCAACGGAACCGCTGTCACTGCCCGTCATGTATGTATGTCCTCATACAGGGAAAAAGCAACGCTGCTCGTGGTACCTCGTAGGAGAGCCAGGTCAGGGACGGGTGGACGGACAGGCCATGTCGCATGGCTGTCATGGCGGCGGCGGCGGCGGCGGCGGCAGACCCTGGCACCAGCGATCAGCAGCAAGACGGGCAACGGGTCTCCTCCTCTTTGGCCTGGCCCAAACGCTGATGTATGTTAACCACTCCAGTCCCCCTCCCCCAACTGCGTCGAGCATGGGTTGGGGAGGTTCCGTCTGATTTGCCTCGCCTCGACCCCATCGCACCGGAAGGCTGAATGAGGTCAGAGTGTGGGGGGAGAAGGCGTGTGCGTGGGAGCTGACCTCGCCAAAAAGAAAGGCACACTGCGCATGAGGCATTTCGATCCCGGACCTGTGCCTCTCCTCCCTCTTCGCCTTCTGAGCAAGGCCGACGAGGACGGGCGTTGACATCCTCATGGGCAGAGAGCGGCCAGGGCACACCACACCATCCACACCATCCACATCCACCCACCCCTCCCGGCCGGCGCGAACAGGGGTGTGTCCTGGTGGTGTGCCCACTCGCATCCGTTAGGAAGGGCCGGCCTGGACAAATGATGTGCGATGGACGGCCTGCGGAGGGAAGGCTGCGCCAGCAACGCTCGGTCTGCTAGCATGAAAAGCCACCAATTCGCCCGTCTTCCCATGGGTTAACAGTCGGATACGACACACGCACCGTCGAATGCCTTGGACTAGAAGCAGCCCACGCCCAGGCGCCGCCCGGTCTGCGTGTTGCAATCGCCGAGGATGGCCATCGGCCTGGTCCAAGACATGCTAATGATCCGTCGTCCATGAAACTCCACGAGGCGTGTCTTGCCGGATATGAGTGTGGGCAGCGCCCACGCGCCCCGGGCTGAGCTCCCGGCAAAGCAATCGTGACGGCTCTCGGCCCGCCGTGATGGAGGTATGTATGTGCGGAGCATGTATCTTGCTCGCTGTGTCGCGTCTCGCTGTTGGTCCGGGCCGAGCAGGAGATCGAGCCTCGCCCAACAACACTTGTGAAGGCGCACCAACGAGTACAGAGGGTCCTGCGGGCTCCCTCTGGCGCTCTCACACCAACTCCCGAGGAGAGCAGAGCACTGGGACTGGTGCGAAAGCCTGTCGTTCGGCACATTTGGCGTCAGAGCTGTAGGTCAAGAGGGCAATATCCACTGGCACGCCTGCAAGCGGGCTTCAGCCTCGTCCCCGCGAAATGTCAGTGCTCGACCAGGGCTGTACATCAGAAGTGTCAACCTAATTAAAGCGCAACGTATGGGCACAGCTCAGCAGAAGCGCTGTAGACTGCCTTCCCGCCCGTCGATGGCTGGTTTGAGTTATTATCAGCCCGCAGAGGTGGGTTCGGTTCGGACCGCAACGGACTGCGGCGGCCATGGGCACGAGCGGTCAGGTTCATAGCCCTGCCTTTCTGGTCAAGCACCCGGTAACATTTGCGTCTTTTTGACCTCAAAGCTCTGAGGATCTGGCGTAATGCGTCTTCGCACGAAGGAGCAGGACGTTCTTACTGGCTTGCGTCCGAATCCTCCCATATCTCCCTGGCTGCGAGCCGGTTTTGGTCTGCCGAAAGCCCGAATAGGTCAAGCACGTCAGCCGGCAGATCCGACGACGGGTTTATGGACGTCGGCCAGGCTTGCCGGAACGGACGAAGGCTTTCATCTATCCAGCACGACGAGCTTCGTGCAGGCGTTGGGTGGCCCATACCCCAAAGGTGTCCCGTTATACGTAGGTACTGCACCTTCATTCTGAACCCTTGTCCCTGTGTGAGAGTTTGCAGAGTCTAGACGAAATGTGCCAGCAGGATGATCCCAAATTTTGTCAGGCATGCCCGACAATGACGGCGGGTCTTCAAGACTGCGAGTCAGCAAGGGTTGGAAGAACCGGCCAGGATCTCTGATGTCGACCTCTTAGACCCTGTAGCGGAAAAGCCGCCGGCATCATCTCAGAAACGCCAATGTGCCGCCCTTGTCTGTTATGGGCAGGCATCATCTGCAGCAGCTTGGCTGGAGTCGCGTCTCGCTTCACGATCCGCAAGTGATGCTACTAGCCTCTCTCCTTGCAGCGGATGTGAGGCTAGGGCACAAGGGATCGATCTTTCCGCACATGACAAGCGGCGATCCGTGACGGGAGCCGTTGCGTGTCGACGAGGCCCTCGCAGGGGCACACGCCACTCAAAGCAGCGGCCTCTAGTGACTGGCAAACCGCGCGACGTAATCTCCGGCCCCGGGGAACAGGCACAACACTGCAGTGTGCTGCAATTCGTTGGGCAGCAATCGTTACGAACCTGCCGGTGAGGCTTGTCTGAGTTTGTAGTTGGCCGTACCGGTTAGCACAGGAACCAGAATACCAGGGGCAGGGTGCCAGAGTAGGGACGATATGATTGTTCTGCGTACGAAGTAGCCCGTACATGGTGCCGTGCCCTGGCTAGCCGTCCACTTGCAGGGTCAGAGCAGATACATTTGGGCGGAGGGGGTGCGTCCAAGCGAAGACGCAGTTCCGCTCCCCGGCTGGGGTTCCAGTTGGTCAGTTCTGCAAGATCCCTGGCGGCAGGTTTTCCAAGTTATGAGACGGGACAGGTGCCTGAGCTCCACCAGCACGGCACCACCAGGATTTTGCATTGCTGCATTGGTCTCGGCTTGGGCCACCTTGACCAGCTCGGTGCCATCCAGGATGCCGCTCCGGCTAGGCACCTTCTTACCATATGCCAGGCATCGCGGTCCCTGACTTGCCAAAGCCGGCAGGCGGCTCCCGTGATGACTCTGCTGAAATTTGGACGCCTTGGCATACATCTGCGCTGCCATCGTCGGTGGGTATCAAGGTTCCGGCGTGTAAGCCCTCAAACATCGAACGGTGCAACGGTGCTCTGTTGCAAGTCAGCCAACTACCGAGCGCCGCCGTGGGACATGCCTTGCGCGATGAACCCCGACGGCGGCAAGGATAAGGAAACATTGGTCGCCGCAGACAGCAGCACCGACCAACGATGCCCGGATTCATTGCCGTGTGTGTCCTGCATGGAGATGGCAATGGATGGCGAGAAAACTTCTTGGTCTGGACTGGTGCTGTGGTCGCCGCGAACGACCAATTGGTGCCGCGAAGGGGGAGGAAAGCTCGCCACGGGTTGGAAATTAGCAGAGGCTGCCCGGCATCCCGCACTTTCTTTAGCTGAGACACACACAATGGTCGGCTGGCTCCGACCTTGGACCTGTGCGTATGCCACTGGTCAAGCAACGCGGCTGGCGGTGCGGTTATTGAAGCGCCCAGACTGTACAGCGCGGCGTCAGGCAGTTCGTGTGCTTCCAAACAACACGGCCGGCGCCAGCGGTGCAGAATGCCGCCTTGGACGTTCGCGTGCGTTGCAGGCATGTCACTGTCAGCGGCATGTCTTGCTTTGCGATGCTGTTGTGGCTGACAGCGCTTGGGCACCAGCATGTCATGAGTTGCACGGAACGTGCCACAAAGCTGACGAGACGGGACGGGGGGATCTGACAGATGAAGGACAGCCGTGTTTCTTTTGGAACTACGACGAATGAATGGAGCAATGCGGGATGCATGCTGCTGGACCTGCGTCTGGCTAAGGTGAGGCGGGCTTGTAGGCCGCATACATTGCCATGGATCGCGTGGCGTGCCTGCCAGGACGGTCGGGCTTGTAGCTGATTCTGCTGCCGGTGCTCTTGATGATGTCGATGGTACCGGTCCAGTCTCTGTGGCTTCTGCGCGTCATCTTACGGCAATCCTACTCAGGGCTGACTCTGGCCCTGGGCTGCCTGTCCCGAAGAACTATATCTGTTCATGGGGTTCGCGGGGCACCTCATCGTTCCTTCTTCGCCCAAACCAGGCACCTGCGGCATTTGCTCTGCTGCACAAATAAGGGAGGTACCCTAGTACATAGGTCGTCCGGGAAGGCAAGTCGCGACTGCCCGTCTCGCCCCAAGGAAACGGGTAGTCGTGCCTCTTCCAACCTGCCTGCAGAGTCAAATACGCGGTACGTCGCACTGTACTTTGTGCACGTCCGGCGTTCCCATACCACTCATGCAAGCAAGTACGACGGTAGCGAATAAGTTGCAGACGCGGAAGCTACGAGGCGGTCCATACTTCAGGTACTGTACATAAATACGGTGTGAGAAGTACCTCATAATGTACGAAAACGTACAACAGTGTACCTTTAACGTACTAGGTAGGAACATTCCACCTGTTGACCTACCTTATATGTCGTACCTGGGGTAGTTGCATGGAAGCTGGAACCCAAGGCAAGCATGTCCCACCATACGGACCTCGGGCAAGAAGCCCCCTATTCCATTACCAATACCGCTTTCCCATCTCTCGCTCATTCTTCTCCTCCACATCGTCACACTGCCCAGAACACACAGCCCGGCGCGGGAAGCTAGCGGCGGCATGCGTCCCCCCCTTCAACAGCTGCAACAACCGCGACCTAGACCCCATTGTCTCGCAATCCAATGTTGTATCACCAGTGTCACCAATATGGGCGGCCCGACCCAGGCCACCGTGCTCGACGACGACCGTCCGCCGTCCATCCGCGATAACCTCGGTTGCTCCCCTACGCTCTTCAATGTCGGGAAGATGGCATCCTCCGCCAGCCTTCCGACTTCCCATGCGCCCCCAATACATCCCGCGCCGCCATTTCTGCCGTTCTTGAGCCAAGAGGGAGGAGAGGAGCCGCGCTCGCACCCTTCTCGTGCTACCCCACTGCCATCCACCGCCTCGAGCAGCGGAGCAACCCCTCGGCGGCAAGACAGGCGCTCTGAAAGGCTGACGTCGCTGGTCCGATCCACCACTAACAGGCACAACCAAAGCAAGAGGCCAAGTGGGAAAAAAAAACTTGCCCGAGATGCGGCCCGTCTTCATCAGCAGCCGAGCACGGACAGACCGCTAATACGGAGCGTCGCCAATGGCGAGTTATCCCCGGGTGGGTATTCTCTCTAGATAGGCGCCCGCATCCTGCAAGCCAGCTAGCCTGCCTTGCTCCCATTCGGCGCTCAACACATCTGCCGTCCTCTTCCCTGGACGCCTCGGGGCGGTCCATCGCCGTTCACCCGCCGCGCGTGCTTGACAGGGCGAGAGCTACGTCTCTCGCCCACCCCACGTTTTACAAACAACCCACTTCTGCCGGACTGTATGTAGGTGCGAAGCGGCCGCAGCACCTGCGGCCTCGGCTATGCAGGGCCAGCGGCGATGGGCGACGGCCCTTTGAACACGATCCCTCCGTCCCTGCCCATGGCTCGCCTTGCCCTGCCCTGGCCCGCTTCGCCTTGGGCTGTGGTACACCCTTCTTTACAGTTCACGCATCATAGATGGTGGCGCCCCCGCATGGACTTGCTCTTTCAAGTTGCTCCCAGCGTCGGTCCTGGATGGATGGACTTCGGGGCACGCGATGGTGGCCGCAAGCTCGTCATTGCATGCTGAACGGCGTCAAGCCCGGTGAGGCCAGCTCATTGGAAGTTGGCATTGTCCGTCTACTTCGTGCGTATCAATCAGTCGCTGCTCCGACCTCCGTCTAAACCCTACTTCGGTCCTGGATCCGGACCCGCCCGTCCTGGTCCTTGCCAGAGACGCAGCCCACCGGGATCGCTGTCGTCGATCCTCGCAGTAATTGCCAAATTGTCGTCAATGTGGTACCCGTGTGCCACAGTAGCCCAAGGGTACTGGGATCCCCCGTCGAGGTCGGCCGCAACGGCTCCCGCCATCGCGTGGACCGTCGGCGAAATGCCGCCACGCTGCCGCCCTTTTTTTTGGGCTGTCTGCCGCAATTGACCAGGTCAGTCAGAAGCCAGGCAGGCAAGCCAGGCCTGCCGAGACCGAGACGCCATCGCATCTGATGAACCCTAAAAACGAGATCGTCACCGGTCGAGTCCTTCAGGCACACAGCCAACGGTCGGGCTTCGATGCATCCCGACGCAGCACCACCGTGGTCGCAATCTTTCCCCAGCCCGGCCTCGCCCAATCGTCCAGCGGAGTCCCCCACCATGGCTCGCCATATGTAATCATCGTTTGACAATGGTCACTGCTGAGGGTTAGCGCTGTCGTCATCTTGGCCGTCTCCTCGAGCTGAAAAGCAGGGGAGCTGCCGCGGCGCGACCACACGGCGGCGCTGCTGCAGCGGTTGAATTGAGCGCATGTCGCGCGCGCGCGAGCGACCGGGATGACATCTTGGGAAGACGGGAAACCCCCGCTCATCGCGGCCCGCGCATCTGTCGCGCCGCATATGTATGTTTTTGCCACTTCTTCAGGGGTATGCAGCGGACGGAAAGTGCACCAAGCACGGGTTCACTCACCAACATCCTCGTCCTCCAGCTCGTGCGCAAGGCCGACCCTTTGCGGCTGGTGCTTGACTGATTTGCCGTATACAATCGCCGTCTTGAACTGCTCCACAATGCTCCGGTGGATGGCGTTACACTGGGCGGGACATGTCTCGGTCAGACGCGGAATCCGCAATGGATGTCAGGCCAAAGAAGGGGATGGGGGGTTGACTCACAAAGTCCTCTACCGTGCACCTTGTGGCCCGAAGCACCACAGGCGCCGAGTAGTCGGGCGCCTTGCCCTTGGGCTTGGTGTACACACGCTTCAAGCTCAGCTTGTCCCACATGGCCTCCATGAGCTCATCAATATTCCAGCCATGCTCCGAGCTGATGGGCACGGCGTTGGGAATGCGGTACAGGAGATCCAGCTCCTCGATGCTGATGGAGTCGATCTTGTTGAGGCAGTAGACGACGGGTATGTAACTGGAAGCGTGACAGTCAGTTGCTGAAGCTTGGTGCGGCGCAGAAGCTGCTTCCCCTATGCGCGTTACAAGAGGCCGTTTCATCTTACCTCCGGCTCTTGGCCTCCAGCACGTCAATCAGGTCGTCGACGGTCGCGTCACACCGGATCGTGATGTCGGCCGAATTGATGCGGTACTCGCTCATGACGGCCTTGATCTCGTCGTGGTCGATGTGCGTCAGGGGAACGGTGCTCGTGACGTTGAGGCCGCCCTTGTCCTTCTTCCTGAAGGTGATGTTAGGCGGCGACTTGTTGATTCGGATGCCGAAGCCTTCCAGCTCGGCCTCGATGACGCGCTTGTCCGTCAGGGGCTTGTTGACGTCGAGCACGATGAATATGAGGTGGCACGTCTTGGCCACGGCGATGACCTGGCGACCGCGGCCGCGGCCGTCCTTGGCGCCTTCGATGATGCCGGGCAAGTCGATGATTTGAAGGGGGGCGCCTAGGATGCCAAACGCTGGTCAGCACAACAGCATGCCTCTCCGCCATCCATCCATCCGGCACTATACTCCCTGCACGTATATTCGCGCGGGCACCGCGGGGAAAGGAGGGGGCAATGACAACCACGCACCGTTGTAGACGACCTGCCCCGGCACGCTCGTCAGCGTCGTGAACTCGTACGCCGCCGCCTCGGAGTGCTGGCCCGTCAGCTTGCTCATGAGCGTGCTCTTGCCCACCGACGGGAAGCCGATGAAGCCGATACTGGCGACGCCCGTGCGCGCCACGTCGAAGCCCGCGCCGCCGCCGCCGCCGCCGCCGCTCGGCGTCAGCAGCTCGCGCTTCAGCTTGGCGAGCTTGGCCTTGAGCTGTCCCAGGTGGAAGGACGTGGCCTTGTTCTTTTGCGTCTTGGCCATCTGTATGCATCGTGCGCGCGCGCGCGCTCGCGTCAGAAATGGCGTTCTCGATCATAATGGTTTCGTTGACCGTCCGCGCGCCGTGCCCATCCCGCCCACGTGAGGCCGTAGGACAACGGCTCGGCCGTCCGTTCTATCTCGTAGGGGGGGGGCAAGGTGGAGGAACAGTCGTGTGCTCGGTCTGCGGGCTACTACGCACCTCATCTTCGATTTGTTTGATCTATCGTGCCCATGGTTAGCCCAGAGACGTCCTTGTGTCGTCACTGCCGCCCGCGGCTCGGCCGTATGTCCGGCGGGGGCTCGCTCACCTTTTCCACGGTGGTCGACATGCTGGGCGACTGGGGGAGAGACGCGGCTCTCGGCGGTTCGGTAAAAGTGGTTTCTCTCTGGCGGGGTATCGGGGAGGAGGGAGACCCTGCGACGTCTCCCTGGGTCGATGGGTGGTGGTAATGCTGGTGGTGAGGATGTTGGATGCGAATTCAATCTTTTGGTGGCCGGTGGGCTTGGTGGGGCAAATTTTTGTTGCACCCTCCATTCTCGCGGTGTCGGGTCGGCCGCCACTCATCCCTCAGTCAGTGATGTCAGGTCGCTGGCGGGTCGGCATCCACCAACAGCGCGAGTGGCAATTGACGTACGTCTACCTCTTAACCATGGGCTCAGACGAAGGCCGGCGACAACGACCACCTCCTACTCAGTCAGGGTCGACCCCGATCGTCAGGTCTAAACACGGCATTCACCAATCGCATTATTCGCGCTTCACGCGTGGTGGTGCATCGCTGTCTCTTTGCATCCGGCTCCAACCACGAGGTATCTCGACAAGACGCAAGACATCGTCAGAAAAACGCCCCAGCTCATGCTGCCTGCCTGCCCCGCCCCGCCGGCCAGTAACCTGTAATTCCGTGCCATCATTCGCAACGTTGCGTCTTGTGCAAAGCAAACATCCAAACCAACCAAAGCTGCGAGGAGTCCTCTGTGCTCCTGGCTTCGGAAAAGCATAGCCCAAGCACCTCCATATGTACCATGTCCCGGCTCACTATTGCACATTCGCTTTCCGTGGCCCGGCAAAACGCCTGAGGCCCCGTACGCTCCCCGCTGGCGAGGAGTCTTTGCGATACAAAAGAGAATTCATACACAACACCGCCCGCTCCTGTCCTTTCATCCCCTCCATTATGGGTATCGCTTCTCTGTTCCAGACCCATCGACGCCGTTCACTGTCGCGTCTCCGTTCATTACCTTGAGTCCGTTGGCAGAGTCGTGGATCGAGTGGCCCTTGGTGCCATTAACAAGGGGTTGCTGCTGCGTCGAGACTGTGCTTGTCTGGCTGGCTGGAGACGAGTGCACGCCGTTCGGGAGCGACGGCGTCTGACGCCCCTTCAATAAGTGCTCCAGACCTTGCTCCTTGCAGATGCGTTCGTAGTCTGGGTCGTCGCGAGTCACCTGCACCAGACCACGTCGAGGAACCCGTATCTCTGGAAACGGCTTGTTGCTGATCTGGTGCGTCGTCGGCATGTCCTCGCTGACGAATTCGCCGTTGACGTAGTACTTGCGGCGTGGTGCGTGGCCACCATAGCGCTCGGCGCCAGGGTCATCGCGCCACTTGTATCTATCCTTCACCCACTTCTTGGTTTCCTCCATCGTTTCACACAGCTCTCGGTATTCGACCGAGATCTTGACGTTGAGCAGGTGCGGGATATTCGGCACCGTGTACAGGAGATCCGACACCTTGCGGTTCGAGTCAGCAACTTCAGTCGTCTTTCCGACCAGTAGCACCCCAACCTGCGATGGCAAACTTACCTTCACAAAGAACATGTCCATTGCGAGAAATCTCTCCTGTGCGGCGATCCTGTGCTCCTCCATTCCCGCGGTGTCAAGATCAGACGGGTCCTTGACGCTGTAGCAATCTGGGACCTGACGTCCGAGGTCCCACACTGTTTGTCTCGTCAGCGCGTAGACGCCTCCCTCGGTTTTCAAAACTGAAAGTTTCGCGACCTTGGTGGCGGGAACCCTCTCCCAGGCGGTGTCTGCTCTGAGTTAGCGCCGAAACCGGAAAACGTCTCATTCATACGTTGTACTCACATCTCGATAGATCAAGATCCTTTTCGCCAAGAAGAAGAGCTACTTCGGTGTTGAGAACCCACTGCTCGCGACCTTCCGCAGTGTTGTTCGTCTCGGGGCGGATGGTGTCGTAGCGCCAACCGAGGAGGTTCGTGAACCTTTGTGTGATGGCCGGGGCCTTGGGATTCGGGCACTTGTCGAGCCAGCGCAGAAGGGGAGGAAGCTTGTCCAGACGGGCGCGCTCCTGTTCCTCGCGGATTCGCCTTTGCTCTGCCTCCCGTGCAGCCCGCTTCCGTTCCATCTCCTCGCGATGCAAACGCTCGCGACGTTCCCGCTCTTTGCGCTCTTCCTCTTCGCGCTCCTTTCGAGCCTGCTCGGCAGCTTCCCGTTCAAGCTGCTCCCTTTGCAGTCGCTCGGCCTCTTCTCGCTGCCTTCGCTCCTCTTCTTCCTTCTTCCTCTTCTCCTCTTCCAAGCGTTTCTTCTCTTCCGCTTCACGCCGCGCTGCCTCTTCAGCTTCACGGCGCTCACGCTCCGCTTGCTCCTGACGTTTCCGCGCCTCTTCCACCTCGCGCTGTCTCTTCTCCTCTTCGGCCTTGCGAGCCTTCTCCTCTTCGGCCTTGCGAGCCTTCTCCTCTTCAGCCTTACGAGCCTTCTCTTCTTCGTCGCGTTTTCGGGCTTCTTCGGCCTCGCGCTTTTCCTTTTCTTCGGCCTCGACCCGTTTTCGCTCCTCCTCCTTCTTTGCCTCTTCGGCGGCAGCCTGATCCTCCTGTTCTTTCTTTTTCTTGAGGAGCCCGATGGATCCTCGCGAAGCGTCAGCCATTTCGGTATCCTGGGGCTGTTCAATGTCCAACATGGGCACGTCGACGTCCTCGCTCTTGACGTGGATGGAGGTCTCGGCTCCACTGCTGCGCGGAGGGTTATGGTGCTGAGAGTCCCGTCGATCCTTGTTCAGGCCAGAGGCGTCCTCGCGCTCCTTCTTGGGCGGCTTGCTGGAAGCGTCCCGAGAGGAACTGAGTTTGCGCGGGCGTCCTTCAGGAGAGGATGCTCGCTTAGCGCGTTTTTCAGGGTTTTCGCCATCCAGGCGCCGCCGCTTAGCCGGACCGTCGCTGTTGTCCTTGTCGACGTCACTAGGCCTGTCGGGAGTTACACTGGCGCGGTGCCTCTTAGTCGCGCCATCGCCAGGTGCATGATCCCTTGATTCGTCTCGCTTCAAGGCCTTCGTCCTGTCGTGGTACTTTTCCGAGAGCTTGGATCGCTCGGGGCCATCGTCCGTCCTCGACTCGTGCGGGCTCGTGGGTTCCTTGAGACGCCTTTGCTTGTCGCGCTCTCGACTCAACTCGCCCTTCGATATCAGCTTTCGTCTCGGCTTGGCCGCCTCGCCTTCAGACGACATGCCCGTCATGTCTGACTCTGCGCGTTTGGTCTTCTGGGGTTTGTGGGAAAGGGCTGGAGACACTTCACGGTCAGAGATTGTCGAGGAGTCCTTTTTCGCGCGGTTCGTGGCTCGTTTTTGTGTGTCGTCGTCGTGCCGATTTGTAAAAGAGTTGGACCGTCTCTTCTCCCGAGGGCTCGCAAGCTTTGCCGTAGCGACCTTCTTCTTCGCCTCGCCTTCGTGGCCTGGGCTGGGCTGGTTGCGTTTTAAGACACTCGACGTGTCTTTTGCCTCGTCTCTGCGAGATTCCCTCTCACGATCACGGCGTGCAGTGGGAGACTTAGTCTTGACGCCATCCCTGTGGGAGCGCTTGTACTCGTCATAGGCGTTCTTGAGCATGTGCTCTTCATCGCGCCAGTGAGGTCCTGCGCGCCGCTTGGCAATCTCATAGTAGGTTTCCCCCTTGAATCGGCGAGTCGGATCGAAGCGCTGCTGCTTGAGTAGCAACTCAACCACCTTGATATTCTCCTGGCCTATCGCGGCTAGAATTGGAGTTGCCAGCTCGGGCTGCAACGACGCCACTGGGCCGGGATCAGGGTTGGCGTTGCCGAGACCTAAGAGGAGCTGAATCACCCCGTCGTGACCACCTCGAGCGGCGGCAACCATGGCTTCGGGATCGTCGTAGCCTTCTTTGACCTGCAGAATTCGACCGACGGTCTCCTCATCGCCACGGCCGGCAGCCTGCCGCAGGGTCTTGTCGTCGAGCGGCATATAGAGCAGGTCGTTCCTCGTCTTGGTGGACCTTACAGTGCCGCTCCTACGAGACGACAGGGACCCAACAGCCGCCGGAGAATGTCGAGGACTCTCTGGGGCGAACTCGTGGTTGTCGTGCGAATGTCGATCTTCTGATGTACGGCTCCGCTTTCCTCCTGTCCGCTTCCGTGCCTCAAGCAGAGCCTTGCGAATCTCGTCGGCATTTTCTGTCTCCTCAGTCACCCTGTCAATCGGTTCTTCGCCATTGACGTTTGCCTTGCGCGGGTTGACGCCGGCATCGAGTAAGAGTCTGACGACACCAAGGTGACCATTGTCGACGGCGTCCAATAGCGGGGTGTCCTTGTCGTAATTGATACAATCTAGGTTGCAACCGGCCTCGATCAGAAGCTTTACAATATCTTCGCAGCCATGAATTGCGGCGATTTGCAGCGGCGTGTTGCCCGCGTAATCAGCCACGTTCAAATCCTCCGGCCGCTCGGTAAGGCGGGTCTTGGCGCTCTCATACTCGCCCCTTGCACAGGCTCGAGCCAAAAGCGTCTGACCATGGGCGTCGAGGTGCTTCTTGTGAGGCCCCATCCTGGCTGGGGAAAGGTTGGACTCTGCCGTGGACGGCGCCGCGAGGCTCCGCAGCTTGGAGCTTCGTGGCTGTGGGGTGCCGCCCGCGGAAGAGTCGTCAGAGTGGTAGTCGGTGGCATGCAGTGGCGGAGGCAAACGCTTCTTCTTGGTGTGGAGGCCACCCGAGGCCTGAGAGGGCAGCTGAGTGGAGGTGCTTCGTCGGTGCTGTCGGGGATGAGGCGAGATCGAGCGTGTGCGATGGTCGTTGTGAGGCTTGGAGGGCGTCTTTGTGGGCCGGCCACTGTCGAGGCCGACACTTGTGGTCCGCTGCCGCCTGGCCTTGCGGGCGTCGGCCTCGTCGTCGGACTCGACCTTGGGGGCCTTGCGTTTATGAGATACTAGGCGTTCGCCGGACTTGAGCTTGTCACGTAGTGATGTCTTTGATGATGCCTTTGAATGAGACTGCTGCTCAGAATCGGAGGGGGATGAAAGCGCAGCGTCGGAGCGGCGCCTGCGTTGCTGATGTTGATGAGTTTGGGGTGGAGACGCAGGTGCAGAGCTCAAACCACTGGAGCCGCCTTCCTTGTTGCGAGGACGGCGGTCTTTTTCCGGGCCGGCGGAACCTGAGGCGGACGGCCGCCGCTTCTTCTTGTTCACGTCGCTGGCAGAGTGGTTGCCGGGCGCGTTAGCAGCAGCAGAGCCGGTCGAGTGCTTGTCGGCATCGTTGGTGCTGCCGTTGCTGTGCTCCTTGTCTTTTTCATCCGACCTTTGCTTGGGCGGGTTGAGCTTGCCCTTGGATGCGTCGCCATCGCTTTCGCTCTTGTCCTCCTGGCGAACCTTGCGGGCCTTGGACGGCGAGTGGCCATCCTTGCCAGGCAATACGATGGTCTCTGCGTCGGAGTCGCGGTCCTCGGGAGACTCATCGGGTCGCGCCGTCGACAATGCACCGTCGGTAGCGGTGGCGGCGGCGGCAGTCGGGGCCTTTGCAGTCTTGGGCTTTGCGTCCCGGGTCGGAGACGAGACCCTCACGGCGGCGGGCGACCTGGCCTTCTTGTCAGACTCGGAGCCTCGCCGCTGTCGAGGAGATGAAGCGCCGGCAGTCCTCGTCTGGTCGGACTCGGCAGCATTCTGCGCATCCATGTCATTTATCTTGGAAGGGAGCAGGCGACTAGCACCATCCTGGAGATGAAAGGCGCGACGGGAGGGTGGATTTCGATGCGGCGGGGAGGAGACGGCGCCGAGGCAAGAGAGGGGATCACGAAGAGTCAGAGGAAGGTGTGAGATGGAGGTAGGGACGAGAGATGAGGGTGGGTGGTTGACTGATTGGGGACGTCGACGAAAAGGCTGCCGATCGCCACAGAAAGTGGACAGCGAGCGAGAGCAAGAGTCGGGACAAGGCAACCCCAACCAGGGTGGTCGCGTTGCGTCTGGTACTGCTGTCTGTCCGGAGCAGACTGACGGACGGACGAGACGGTGCGGTGGGTGGGCAGCGCGCAGCCCCTATCGAGGAAAGGTCGACGAACCCGAGATTGGGCTAGCCGGGGAAGTGCTTGGGTGAGGCCGACGGGCGAATAGAGAGCTGGGCGCAGGGCGGGAGGATGCGTCGCCAGGCGCTGTCGTCGATGCCGGGGGGGGTTGGTGCGGGCGGCGGCGGCGCGTTGGAGACGCAGACGCAGTGCTGGATCGCTGCACCGGCTGCCCAGGGACGTTACGGCAGTTGATGCTCGTTGCGCGGACGTGCCGTTGTCGTGATGGGGACGCGGGTGCTGGTGGTGGTGGTTGACGACAACAGGGCTGCACGCACGCGGCGAAGCCACAGTCAGAGCTGAGGGTGTTGGTGATTTGAGGAAGTTTGAGGAACCGGAGGCGAGCGACGACGGGGAAAGAGGCTGAGGAGTTGCCAGTAGTGCTGGAGTGCTGTACCCGTGCCTTGCCTCGCCTTACTCAAACAGCGGCGGGTGCGGTGGCTGCTTTGGGGCTGGGCTGGGCTGGGCTGGGCCTGGCTGTGGGCTGGCGGGCTGGCGGGCTGGCAGTGGAGGCTGCCGGGCCTCTGACTGGAGCCTCTCGCAAGACAAAGCGGACGGTACGTAGCACCAGCGCGTGGGCGGATGGACGACATCAGCGAGCTCTAGTATCAGCAGTAGTGCTGGCAGCAGTGACCGAGTGCTAGGACCGGCCAGCCGTCGAGTCGACGACGACGACACCCACAGCGCGGCGGCGGGCAAAAAAAGCACAGGACAGACAGACCACCGCCGACGCACCCACCGTTGATGCGTCCCTCCATCCATCATCCATGCCCATCTTGCCATCCATCCATCCATCCACCCATCATCCACATGCACACGCGAGTATTACAGGACGCTGGGGACGGTAGGTACCCACATTCACGGGATCCAGCATCAACATCAGCACCAAGGACAACAGAAGAGGGTCAGCGAGAGAGAGAAGCGCAATGCACGGGCACGGGCGCGCAGGCAGGGGCCAGCCTGCCTGGCATGGCATGGGGAGCAAGGGATGGGCCCAGAGTTTGGATTGGACTGCCACTGAAAACGGGGACCCCCCCAAGAGAATGGAGAGACAAAAGTCTGATCGTCGCTGGCTGATTGGCCCGTTTTGGGGGCGTTATCCGGCGGACCACAGGGGCCGTTGACGCAGTTTTGGGCCGAAACGCCAGCGCTGGGGCGGGTCGCCGCTTCCAGGTTGCCTCCACTGCCCGCCTGCCCAGGCAGGTACGTACCTACCCTGGCGAGCCAGCCCTGGCAGGCTTCCATTCGTACGAGTTCGAGAGGCCACCACCACCTCAGGCATCCAGCCCAAGCTATAACAGGGCCGATCGGCCGGCGTGCCAGCGAAAATGCAGAGGTGAGGTGATGTTCCTCAAGCACCTCACGCTTGGTGGTTCTATCTTTGGCGTTTGTCAGTAACTACGTGAGTACTTGAAGTGGCGGGCCTCGCCGCGTGCGGGATCCCTTCCAGTCCGGGCGGACATCCATTGGCCTTTCTTGAGCTCCCGTACTTCGTAGATGTACTTGTACTTGCGCACTCCCGAGTCCAGCGCAGCAACACTGCAAGCAGCGCGCCGCCGTCGCCCAGCCCCCAGCCTCGTCATTCATCACGCCAGCGCCCGCGAGGGCCACGGGTAAGGCATGCCCGGGCCCAGTCCGCCCCGCCCTCGGTGGCGCGTGCATGCGTTCGTGCGTTTGTGCGCGAGGTGGTACCTGATGCGCGGACGGGAGGTGTTGCAGGTACACCGAGCACTGCATTGCGCAGTCCCGTACGTACTTAGGTAGGTACCTAACGTTAGTAGGTAGTACCCATTTGCGTGCGTGCCTGGAGGACGTATCGCACATCTACTGCATCTACAAAGTACGCGAGCATTCAATTTATCCACTATGCGTGTTGTAGAAGAAGGTTGAGCCTCCCGCTGCCAAGATTGCGCGTGCGCGTCTGCGTCTCACCGTTGCTGACGGCCTGAGAGCAGCGGCTGCCTTGCTGCCCACTGCAGGTGGCCTTGCCCGCCGTGTGCTCCGGCTCAATGATGGATGAGAGGCCCAGGCACCCGGACCAGCAGAGCTCCAACCGCACAGTGTAGTGATGAAGTCCGGTCCAGCTGCACACCCTCCACCGCTTCCCGTTGCCCGCCCGCCTGCCTCACATGCCATGCACTGCTGCACGGCCTTGCAAGGGGGCCATCTGCCGTGAGATGCGCCTCAGGCAGACTGGCGTGACCTGGCGTTGCGCGTTGCAGCCTGGTGCTTCTCCTGGGGGCCGGGGGTCTGCAACCTGATGGGGGGGGCTTCAAGCTTCCAGCTCCGCCGCTTGTTCCGAGGAATCGAAGACGACGGGACAAGCGTTACGCCGTTTGGAGCAAGTACAAGGTACTTCCTTCGTTCATCGTGGAAGACCACGAGTTCGATACCACGCGTCCCTCATGCTGGTTCACGGCTCTCGGTCCAACAACACATGTGAGGCCTTCACGGAGGCAGCCAGTCAAGCAGATGGGTTCCTTTCCTTCCCAACTGCCGCTGCGATTAGCGTGCAGAGAGATCGATGCCTCTCTCTCGCCCCGTGTTGGCTGCTCCGCGCCGCCCGGTGCGCACAACCTGCCCAGGTGGCTCTCCCACCTGGGACGGGAGCCAACGAGAATCCCTCTGAAGTACCAGATACCTCGAAACCCACACCCTCCGCTCCGTGATCCGTTCGACAACAGCTCTCAGGTCGACTCGAGTCGTACTGGAGCCCCACATCCCTCTCACCTTCCAGCAGCCTGCAGGTGAAAGGGCGCTGGGCTGCCGACCCCGCCCCGCCCGCCCTCGTGACATGCATCCCCTCTCTCCTCACCCAAACGTCGACATCAGGCATCCATCCCCCTCGCACTCATACTCTTGAGCGTCTTGTCAAGTCTGCGCTCCGGGCAACATCGTCGTGAGCCGCCGTCTCCGTGCCCCGTCTCCTCGCTGTTGCGCCCCCGCACCGTTCGATGCGCTGCCGCCGACGTCGTCCACTATCTCACGCGTCGCCGCCGCCATGGCTGCTATCAACCTCCCACCATCTCTCGAGTATGCCCGGATACACGACCTCCCGTCGACGGCCTACTACATCCCCGATTTCATCAGCGAAGACGAGGAACGCTTCATCCTCAGCAAAGTGCGTTCCTCTCGCCACCGCCACCGCCCTCGCCGCATCCGGCCCTGCGCTCGCCTCCTTGGCATCCCTTCCGACCCCTGGCTGACCGTCCTCGCTTTGCGCTCCCCGTGACAGATTGCGTCCGCGCCGAAGCCCAGGTGGAAGCAGCTCACGCACCGTAGGCTCCAGACATGGCCGTCCGACCTTGTACGCGATACCCTACTCGACGCACCGCTGCCACCGTGGCTGCAAGAGCCGATCAAATCACGCCTGCGCTCTCTCCCGCTATGGGAGGGCAAGCCTGGCCACATCTTTGAGGGCAGCCCCCATGGGTCTCCAAACCACGTGCTCATAAACGAATACCCCCCCGGCGTTGGCATTATGCCTCATAAGTTAAGTACTTGGATATGGCGATGAAGTCCGTTACTCGTGCGCCCTCCGTTGCTCATCCAATGTAGGACGGCTCCGCGTACTGGCCCGTCGTGTGCACCGTCAGTCTTGGCGCCAGTCTGTGCCTGAACCTGTATCGCAGCAAGGACGACGGGGCCCTCGACCCGACGCCCGCGTGGAGAATCCTCCAGGAACCTCGTAGCCTGCTCATCACTACAGACAGCCTCTACACGGATTATCTCCACGGCATCGACGACATCGACGAGGACGTCGACCTGACCCCGGACAGTGGCGTGATCAACTGGTCATTGCTCCGGGATCCCGACGTGTTCGCCGGCGGCCGTAATTCTCGCGAAACCCGTACAAGCCTGACGTACCGAGACGTTTTGAAGGTGTCCAAAGTCGGAACCCGACTCGCCGCCCTGGGAAGGCGGTGACAAAGTAGAGACTAGAATACAAAGGGGATCATTTTCCACCTGCCGGCTACCTTTTCCGCCCCGAACTTTTGAGCATACCACTGCTTGGTGCCGCTCGCGGTGCCGCCAAGGTTGACGGCGACAAACACCAGGCCGCAGAGGACGGACTTGTTGAAGATGGCGCCTTCTGGCGCCGCCATGAGGGATATGGCGAGATATATCACGCACTCGCAGGTATAATGCGGACAGACAAAATAAGCAAACATGTCCTGGCTCGGGAGCGTGTACTTTTTGAGCCTGGCCAGGTGCCGGTGGCAGTCGTTTTGCTTCAACCACGCGCCCAGGATGACGGCAAAGGTGGCGGGAATCCGCGTTTTGAGCATCTTGAGAAAGGCGGCGGAAACGGTTGTCTCCCACGACTCGAGAATGGCAGCTTCGCCGCAGTGTCAGTGACGCTCACCCGATAAGCGACGGCTTGACGAAGACGAAGGAGAGACGTACCAGAGCCATGGATCCAGACAGAGATGCTCATGGCCGTGTAGAAGGCGATGCCCAGCGCCCAATGGGCAAACAGCATGGGGCTTCGCCCGGGCTTGACAACGAAGAAGCACTCGTATAACCGCCTCGTGCCCTGTAAGGCCATCATGAGCCAGGCGAAGAAGACGCGGCCCAGCTCCATGGACGACGCTGACGGCCCCGACCGGACCTGCGCCTGTGCCAGCGAGCCCATGATGGCCCCGCGTCGCACGTACTGCCACGCCCAGAAGGCGCTCCATGAGATGGAGACGAGGTAGAAGTGCCAGAACCACGAGTGCGGGACTTTGGCGGCGCTGGCGACGGAGGCAATTTGCATGAGAGCGCTGCTCCGGGTGCTGCTCCCCTTGTCCCTGCTGCCCCCGTTGGGCCTCTTCTCATGCTCCTTGATGCTTCGGTTTTCCTTGTTGCTGTCTTCGGGCCTGCGCGCGCCGTAGTTCAAGAGCGTGCCGCGCGCGTCGTCCGGGAGGTTCTGGAGGACGAGAATGCCTGCCGAGGCGCCGAGGAAGAAGGCCTGACACCACACGCTCGGGGGCAGTGCCCCGATCCTATCCAGAATGTCCATGGTCGCTGTAGAGGAGTCTCTACTTCGTGACTCTTTGTCCCCTTTTTCCGAGGCTCAGGGACCAGAGTTTTTGTAAGAGCTGGATGACCGTCGTGTGAGGTGATGCCAGGTCGAAAAAGACGGGGTTGCGCAGTCTTCGCGGACGGCCAGGGGTTCGTTGGACCAGGTATTCGTGTGATCCCTGGCTGACTTCTCGAGAGGGGCAAAATGGACGCAAGTGACGTGAGACGCCACTCGGCGATGAGATGAGAAAGGGGGAAAACCTGGTTTGGGAATGATGCAGGACGGAGTGAGTGAGAGTACGAGCACGAATGTCGAGGCAGAGGCTCGTCGGGTGGTGGTCTGTCCACCACCCTGGACCGCGGACGACAACACGACCCTTTTTTTTTTGTGCTCGACTGCCGCCGGGTGTCAAACGACGTCCCACCCCACGCATGCACGTCGATCCCCAACGCGTCCCTCACACCTCCCGAGCGAAGAACCACTCATTCACCTCAACCCGTGTCTCTCCCTCGAGGCAGCGCACCGGGGGGACGCATGCGAAAGACCATATCATTGCCAATGCAGCACACTTGATACATGCAGACAAGGTGGTGGTGGTAGGCGGCACCGAGCTCAGAGAGAGTGTGTGTCTGCACATGTGTGTGTATGATGGCGCCGGGCAGAGTCCGCACACGGGCTCTTCGGCAATTGCTGCTTTGGGGCAACGACGAGACTCCGCGCACGCACGCACGCTGCCCTGCTGTCCTTTTCTCTCCATCCCCTGTTGGCCGCTCGGCGGGGCCAGCCTGCTGTGGCTGCATAGAGTACATATCAGCCGGGCAGTGTGTCGCGTGTGTGTGAGAGATGAGAGGCGAGATGCCCTCCCTCGCTCGCACAAGGCAAAATGCGCGTGTGATATGGGACGATCGATGCGTGCCGCACTGTCCGATTGCAGATGGGCGGATTGCACGGCCCTGGGGTGCACCGGGGGCCTCTGTGTTACCAATATACGAAGTATATAATATACATATACTCAACCCCGGAGGCGGCAAGCCTCGACGCGTGCTTGTCCTACAACATGTGGAGCACAGGTATCACAACGGGCAGCTGCCTGCAACCGAAATCGGTGTCGCATCTCAAGCTCAGGACAGTGCGGTGAGTTCACGTCACCTAACCGTTGGACCCTCGACGTATCTCCAAAGTTGTACGACCATGAAAAGCCAACAATGCAGCAAAGAACTTTCATTTTCAGCCTGAGTGTCAAGCTTGGCATTAATAATATTTACAGAAAATGTACTTCGGACGTGGTGGTAAGGACCGTGTACAAAACACCCGTCGAGGCTCCGGGTGCAGTCCCGCGCCTTACAGCCGTTTCTTCGTCGATTCCCATATTTCCGCGCCCCCAACAAAGTGAAACACGTCGCCCGGCAAAAAGAGGCACACAGGCCGCTCTAGTTCTTGTCGCACCAAGTGCGGCACTTGTCGCCGGGGTCGACCTTCTTGTTGACCACCATGCAGTCGTCGTACTGCGCCTTGCACCTCTGGAGCGCCTTGTCGGGCGTGTTGCCGCCCTTGCCCCAGCAGGACGGCGAGTCGGATCCCTTGCCACCCCACGACCCAGCGTTGCCCGTAGAAGAGCACGAAGCCTGGTCGCCGCTGCTCCACGAGAGCAGCCAGCGGCGCTCGAACTCCACGTCCTGCGCCGACGTGGCCTCTGCCTCCCGGGCGCTGAGACCGATGCTGCGCTTGCGGCCCAGTGTCTTGCAGCCCGTGACGTACGTGTCGCGGCAGTCCTCGTACTGCTCCTTGCAGGCGTCCTGGCACACGTTGGGACGGCTCGGCCAGGGGAACGACGGGCACTTCTTGCTGTCGGGGTCGTTGTACAGCTTGAACGGGTTCTTGTTGAAGTCGTCCTTGATGTCGTTGCAGCAAACGGCCGGCAGCGGGATGCCACCCACGGGCTTGCCCGGTCCGTAACCCCACTTGTCGTTGGTGGGCTGCGTGCAGATGTTGGTCGGCTCTGGGGCGCACGACGTCGTCACCGGGGGCTTGGTCGTCGTCGTCGGCTTGAGCGTCGTCGACGGCGGGCAGGGGTAGACCGAGGTGCTGGTCGACGGGGGAGTCCCGGGCCCCGGCTTGTTCTTGTCCCAGCACTCGCGCTTGCCGCACCCCTTTTGCAAGACGCAGTCGGTAACGCAGTGCGCCTTGACCGCGATGCACCACTTGGTGAACTTGAAGCAGTCGATGACGTGCGGGAAGCCGGCCTTTGCGAAGCACGACACGCCCTGGAGCTCACACGTCTTGGCCGCCACGAGACACTCGAGCTTGTTGTCCCAATCAGGCAGCGGCGGAGCGCACCAGTCGCCAATTTGCCACTCGCACTTGGGAGGGCTCGTGTGCGTGGCCGTGCAGACCGCCGTCGTGGTCGTGGTCGTGTGCGAACCCTTCGTCGTTGTGGTCGACTTAGTGGTCGTCGTCTGCCTAGTCTTGCTGGTGGTACTGTGGTGGCTAGGCTTGCTTGTAGTGGTGGTGCTGTGATGGCTAGGCTTGGTTGTAGTCGTCGTCGTCGTCTCCCGAGACTTACTGGTGGTGCTGTGATGGCTAGGCTTGGT